CCGTAGATCCACTTTTCCGACGAGTCTCTCTTTCCTGACGGGATTTTACGTGTGGTGTTTCCATCCTTCCTCAGCAGCACGCCAGCACGCCAGTGAGGTAAGTACGTGCCTGCTCCACTCTCCCATCACAGCTGCCCGCCTGCCCGCCTGCCCGTCGTGCCCGCCCGGTCAGACTAGAGGTACCGCAGTACTCGCAGGGAAAAGGGAAGGAAAGCTGCATCTGACTTTCCCTGATTGATCTTTGGATGATTTGGTGTCTCTCACCTGCATTGGCCCATCTCGACACGCCAGCAATACGACGTCTCCATTGGTCTTGTCACGGAACTCTCGCGTTTTACCACGTCGCTTTCTGTCTCTGGGTCTCTGGCTCAGTTTGTCTCTGGCGCTTCCAGTCTCTTAGTCTTTCATCTCTCTCTATCCGTACAAACGCTTGCCATCATTACCTGTCGAGGCATCAGTGGTTCATCGTTCGACTCCCGGAACCACCCAATCTCGCACCGGCACACTGCTGAACGCGCATCGCCGTTTCGAGATTTGAGCCTTCGTTCCACCCAACTTATTCGACTTCCAACTTCTCGAGGTGAGTGAACAAGCATCCCATGATCCGATACACCGCAGATGGCAGATCAATTTACTGTTCTACCTTACCCTGCCCGGCATCCCTCGCCCCCTTGCCCTTGCACGCCGCACACCATCTTCCACAATCCACGTCCCATCTCCGTCTCCATCGGCTGGGAACTAACTCTTGCTCCACCCAGACGCCAGACCGTGTTTGCTTTGCGCTGCCTCCGCGTCTCTTTTAGAGCAAGGTACCCGTCATCCCTAGACTGCCCTATTCTTTCCCCTCCTACAAATCCCATCGTCCAAGTATCTCTCTCCAAACGCTGACAAGACACCTAGACTTTGATTCCTAGTCCTTACTGCGTATACTATCCGTACACGTCCTTAGTTGGCTCCTTACACACCCGTCTTCCTCGAAATACCATACCGTCGCTTGCTTCTCTGGGCATTGAGTGGCCCATCTCTGTTCCTCACGCAGTAGCGTAGCTCAACTTCAAACCACTTTTTTGGCTCCAGGGCCTTGCATTCAGCGACCAACGCCGCTTGCTACCATCTCCATCGGCATCCATCCAACAAGACACCGCCAGACTATAGTTGCGCTATCACTTGTCGAGCCCACGACCAAGGCCAGGCCCCGGCAGGACCCAAACCCAGGCCTTACCGATACACGCCCTTCTCTATCCCACCCCCGGTTCCGTGCGCGCGCCCTCTCCGCGTCTCTCTCTCCTACTCAAGAGAGACCGCATCTCAATCTAAGCCTAGAGTAATCCCTGCTCCCTACCGACGCTCACCTCGCCCGCACTCTTTTCTCTCTCTATCCCCCCTTCCCACCCCACGCCAGCTCGTCGACTGCGTTTCGATCACTCTCTTCCTGCAACCAACTCACTCGATTCCACTGCGCGGAAGAGAACAACAAATAAACAACGAATACACACACTCGCTACTCTATTCCGCCGCACACCTCACCGCCGCCCCCAAAGCTTCAACACCGTTGAGTCTGTCTGGCACCGACTTGCTTTCCCAGGGAACTTACCGACGAGGGGACGCTGGAACTCACTCACGAGTCCCCATTCTCCACGAATCGAGCCGACTGTCGATCACAGAGCAACTGGGACCCGGGCATCAAACTGAAAGCCGCTGGCTGGGCTACCCCCATTCCCGACGCACCGCACCCCATCGCATCGCACAGCGGAACCACAACACCACATCCACTCGCCCTGTTGCGCGCACAGCCGCTTCGATCCATACACGATGGCGTCCATTTCACGTCAACCCTTTGCGCCCCTCGACGGCACCCGACTGCAGAATCTGACGAGCATTAAGAATAGACAGAATGGTATGTTTGATCAACCCACGACCAAACACGCCCGTTTCCCTCCCTGCAATTCTCATGTTCTCATATTGTGTACTCGCAACGCGGCGGGCGCTGTATGTGGCCCTCTCAACGACATTCGCCCGCCATACCGCTAGAATGCGCCTAGACCACCAACTTGAGCACCTGCCCAGAACATGTCCAAAATCCTTGCGCAAATGGTCGCTAATAATTTCAATAGCTGCTCCATCAGCTACTGGCGGTAAGCGCAAAGCTTCAGACAGCGTAGAAACCGACGATTGCGAAAATGTCGACCCGTTTGCTTTCTCCAAGCGATCTAAGAGCTCCGAAACCTTCTACCCGTCAAAGGATGTCCTCAAGCCCTCGTCCTTCGTTCTAACCAAGGCCGCGCCTCTCGCTGCTAGCCCTGTGTTGAACTCCTCAAGGCCTACCCTGCCTCGCCCTCGCAGTTTGCTGCAGCCCAAATCGCCCTCAGCTAAGATCAACACGGCTATCGCCAAGTCCTCTCCACTCTCAGCTCCCGCTGGTCGTTCGCCAACTCGCGGCAAGAGATCCGGCATCCTTTCAAACCGTCGTAGAACCGCTGGCCCCTACACGCGCGTAGATCCGCCTGCCTTCAACCTCCCTTCATCCTCCTCGGCACCCTTCAGCCTCGATGCTGCTCTCAAGGGGACTATCCCGAGCTATGCTGCCCGTTCTACTGTTGCCACGTCCTCGCGGAATGCTGTGAAGGACCTTGACGAGCCTGATTTGAAGGCATCTTGGTTCTTTGATATCCATGAGGATACGCCAGAGCAGGAAATGACCAACATGCTCCAGCACGGCACATGTGTCCTCGACATAAGCTCTGATGAGGAGAGTGAACGCAAAGCCAGCAGGGACCGCGCAGAGGGTCGCGACAAGGAGAATGTGCCGCCTGTCGATGATGTGAGCCAGACATCTGCACGTCGCTCTGCTCGTCGTACTAGCGAGGACGAGATGATCTTTGAAAAGGAGAGAATAGCTCTGGGCGAGATGGATGCCAGCGAATTTTATGCGTTTGGCTGCGACGAGTCATCCATCATTATAGTCCCCGCCGACGAAGAGGAAGAAGAGGAGAGCGAGGTGGCCCCCCAAGCCGCAGTAGTGCCCGAACTCAAAGAGTCTGTCCCGGAGCCCATAGTAGCCCCGCTCGAGGTTCCCGCGGAAGAAAAAGGTGTAGACGAGCTCATGGGCAAATCTACAGAGACAGCGGCCAAGGCTGCGCTCTTGGAGCCTATGGAGGGCACCGGTGAGAGCTTTGAGCTGTGGGAAAGTGGAAGCGCCAAAGATGAATCAGAGGTGGCGGTTGCTGAATGCTGATGATGGCTTGCTTCACTTTGGTCATTTGACTGGACTTTGCTTCGCTTCCAACTATTCACCATCTTTTAATTACGGGTCCATGATGAATGCGGCGTTTGCAACGGTTATTCGGGATTTCGGATGGACGAGCAAGGACTAAGCGACGGGGAACCCTGGGACACTCTTGGTGTAGGAACAACGGATTTGGGTGTCTTGTTTTGTACAAAGCTGGGTTCGGAGTATTGCGATTGTTTGATTTTGTTTGAGCGATTGATGTCCTCATCAATAGAGAGCACTATTGAAGCTGTTATTTCTGCTATGCTTTGGAGCCCTTTTTGTCACCATGCCCACCATGCATCTTGGCCATCAGCTTTGGCCATGCAACTGTATAGTCTACTTTTACGAAAGACACTGCCATCCATCGTCGCGTCATCCTTCGCACCATCCGAGTGCTTCAAGATGGGCAATCTGGTGTTGTTGGTCCGCGATGTGCTCCCACGTGACAGCCGCTCACCTCACCCTACCCGGTCGTTCCAACGCCCGTATTCCGGGGCTCCACTCGGCCCGCATGTGCCCACCTCATTACACCTTCGCACCCAGAACCGCACCACTCGGCGATATTCGCATCTCACATCAGCGCAGTGTCCCGCACTCATATCCTATCATTGGACCATAGAAGTCGCGATTGGAGCACCGGCATTCACTGTAAAACGGAATATCGAGACTCAATGGCATCGATCAATGACCTTGCCACGGCGGCCATAGCGACGTCGGCCGCAACCGGCGGGCAGGCCGGGGATGCTCTCCCCGTCACCACGCCGCCGGCGGGCGTCGTCCGCGGGGCCTTTATTGCATTTGAAGGTCTTGATCGAAGTGGCAAGACCACGCAGGTGAAGCTGCTTGAACAGCGGCTGATCGAAGAGGGGAAGAAGGTCAAGGTTATGAGGTTTCCGGGTGTGTATCCAGCTTTTGTCACGTCAACGATGGTCTTTCCATACTTGCACCTGGATGACGCATCAACTATTGTCACTAATTGAACTCATATTATAGATAGAACAACGCCTATTGGTCAAATGATTGACGCCTATCTCAAGAGCTCAGTCGAGATGGAAGACCACGTCATCCACCTTCTCTTTAGCGCAAACAGATGGGAAGCAGTGTAAGTCGTCCCCCTTTCTCGTACATCGTTTTATCTGACCAAGCTTACACCCGTCTTAGAAAAAACATCCAAAACCTCCTGGCGTCAGGATACACCGTCATCTGCGACAGGTATTACCACTCGGGCATCGTCTACTCCGCCGCGAAACAGAACCCCCACCTGAACCTTCACTGGGCGCGTCAACCGGAAATCGGCCTCCCCCGACCGGACCTAGTCCTGTTCCTCGACCTCGAGGAGGCCGTCGCCCGGGAGCGCGGGGGCTGGGGCGGCGAGGTCTACGAAAAGGCCGAGTTCCAGAAGCGGGTGCGCGAGCTGTTTTGGGGCCTGAGTCTGGGGCGCGTTGGGCCTGATGGTGGTCTGGGCGAGGAGGGCAGGGTCGATCGGGAGTTTCGGCAAGAGGAGGAGGATTTGGTTGTGGTTGATGCTGGGGGTACGCTTGAGGATGTTGCCGAGGAGATTTGGAGGAAGATTGGGCCAAGAGTGGAGGCGGTTGAGAAGGGTGAGGCTGGGAGTACGGTGAGGGTTGTATCGTGAGCTGAGTTGCTTGAGCGCTTCGGGAGGGAGCCTTTGGCTAGGAGTAGTCGAATAATATGAGATTCGGTGTGAAGATATCTACATGAGCCAAGTTCATCGATGCCCATGAGAGTGAGCATAGCGTTGTATAGCCTCGAGTTTGGGCCATATCGTGTTGAAAAGCTTGCACCTCTCATTCATGGCTGTAGAATTCGACACCGTCATGGCGCTCGAGGTATCACCCACATCCCCCAAAACCGCAACGTCGAGTGGAGCATATGACGAACCCACGGCCGGCCACCCAGGACCTACGGAAGGATTCTTCACAAAGCGCGCAACGACGCCCCTCAAGTATTCATACGCCGCATATGTCTGAGGGGTGTAAGGTGTGGTATCTGGATCGGTGAAGAGAAGGATAATCTCCGAGCCGTGAAACTTGCCTAGCCAGTCGTACTCTTTAGGTAAGAGATTGAGGATGGAAGTATTGAAGTGATAGCGCCAAGTAGAAATATCATTCGAGGCTGCTGTCGAGGCAAGGATGGATTGAGGCTGCGCCTGTTCGTCAGCAACTTCAAGTTTTGTGGAGATTCGTTTGAGGGAGAAACGTACACAAGACCAGAGCAAATCAGTGTAAATGGCCGAAGCAAGATCAAAATCATTCTTGACTCGGGTATCGGAGCGATACAAGGAGACAATCGTCTCCAGGTCTTCGGGTGATATCAAAGCCGGCGGAAGATATGCATTGAAGAAGGCCGTCATGTTGACTTTGTCGTTGACCAGCCCACGCCCTTCTTCCTCTACTGTACCCATCAGAAGAGGAACTCTGACAACATTCCCGTTTCTCCAGAGGACACTTGGCTTGCTGAGGGTCGTCACGTTGTCGAATTGTGGTCCGAAAGTGATGCGAAACTTTCGCATGGCGCTGATTAGATTCTCCGCTGGAACGGCCCTCATACATCTCAATTCATCTGTCGCGTTGACACATCCGACTAAACGCGAAAGCCCCGTCCAGGCATCGATTCCGGGCGATGAATGGGCGAGATGTCCAAAACTCATCTGACCGCTGGACATGATTGCAGCTCGAAATGGGACCAGCGCGTTGTTGGCGTAGGCTTTGAGGTGGTGGTCTACCGAAAAGGCGCCCGCGGACTGGCCCCAGATTGTCACCTTGGATGGATCACCTCCAAAGGCGGCGATATTTTCTTGTACCCAAGTGAGAGCGAGACGCTGGTCGTGTAAACCCAGGTTTTGTTCGGGCAGTGGGATCTCAGGCGAAGCAGGGAAGCCAAAGACTATAGAGCACATGCGTTAGCTCTTGAGGGTTCATGCCTATGCAGATGATGACCAATGTAGATCCGATGCATCTTACCATTTGTGCGGTAGTTGAGAGTTACGGCGATGATGTTTTCATATGCCGCAAAAACAGAAAGATCGAGTCTGCCGTGGCCCAGTTGCCATCCGCCGCCAGGGATGAAGACCACCACCGCAAGTCCGTCGCCCGGCAATCGAGTTGTTGCGGGAGCAAAGATATTGACGCTCAAGCAATCTTCGCTCTCAGGCGGTGCTGGGGTGTTGAAGAGATCTTGGAGGACTTCAAGTCTCGGGCCGAGCTCTTTGGGAGGAACATCAAGTTAGTACTGCAGGCAGAAAACCAGTTAAACGAAGTTGTATCTTGCCGTTAATGCCAAAATTTTGGAGACATGCTGGCCCGAATGCCGTGGCCTTGAAAGTGTCTATCCATGGCTTCGGCGGGTGAGGTAAGGAGAATCGCTCAGGTATAGTGGCATAGGGAACTCCGAGAAACTTATTTACTGGAGTTATCGCGTTTGGGCGACTCGTCGGGATACCTTGGATCTGACCTGATGATATCGTGGCTGTAGGGAAGCCCGTCGACGTGGCCGAGGAGACAGTGGGTAGAAGAAGCAACTTCTGCATCTTCATGGTTTGGAATTCGCAGGCGAAGGAACCTGCTCATCCTCCTTTCTGATTAAGAATTGGATTATGAATTGCAGAGAACGAGGAGTCGAAGGATGGCACCAGGTATAACAACGGCTAGAAGATGCTTGATGTTGTGACCTCGTTTATATACTCTCCGTTATCCGCCCTACAGCCTACATGACTACTCGGTACAGGATCATGAACCAGAAGCCTGGAAGGCCTCATCCAGCTCTAGCGAGTCTGATTATCCGAGCATATTGAGCATCTGACGTATTTTGCAGATCCTCACATTATTCTGTACGGAGCCTGCGATGACCTCCTGCGGGGTGACTGGCCTGCTTGCTCGGGCGTCAGATGTTTTCAACAGAATGCGAAAAACGAAGCCAAGACGAGGATTGCGTGGGAGTGGCTGAGCGACCAGGAGAGTGTTCCACAGCACCATTCCGGCATACACGAGGTACGAAGCCAAGCCACTAGACGGAATTTGGTGGTATAGCATATGAGTGGCTGCAAGGCGTCAGACTTGTGAGGAGGATAACTTCGAACCCAGGAAGAAGATCATCACCAGACTCTTCAAAGGTTGTATGAGAGCAGTGTTCAAGAAAATGGAATTGAGATTCATTACAAAAGAGATCCAACAAGACGACTCGTAAAGATAACAGAGGAACGCTTCATCTGCTCATAACCCGTAATCCGTAATCCGTTACCCATGACCCGCAATCCATAACCTCGGCTTATCCAGACAGCCAATAGTACAGTATTCAAGAAAAGAAACATCATCCAACTTTTCCACAACATTTCGGCTGTCAGACTTGCTCTGGACTATGTGTGACGATGATCGAAGGCAGAGGCGGCTTCAACGCAACTCCACGGGTATCGAACCTTCCATCAAGCGTATCCGTTCCGACGGTAGACCCATAGTCGCTCAATGACCCGTTTCGTCGCACGCCGGTATCAACGGCTAGCTGCTCCCAATCCTTAGCCCACGCCGTTCCGGGGGGAGGGGGACACGGCTTGTCCTTGTTCGCCGGCGGGGCGAGCTTACCGTTCCCGGGGCAGAGACATTCAGGCGCATTGGCGGGGGTGATCTTGATGGCCGGAGCGACGGAAGTCTGTTCCAGCTCGGGAAGAGGAGGCAGAGGCTCTGCGATGGGGAGCATGATGCCGAGGGAGTCCGGGTGCGGGTACGGGATGGGCGGGACGGGGGGGATTTGCTCCCGGCGCCTGGGGTAGCTGGCTTTGCGAACGAGTTTGGCTCTTGCTGGAGCCGGGATCGTGTGTCGGTGGTTGGCGGGAAAGTAATAGTAGGCTGGAGGGGTCGGAGGACGACTGTTTGGCCGGCTTGAAGGCTTGGCTTCCTCGTCCTTGAGATCCTTTTCGAAGGCGCTGACTAGACAAGTGACTGTATTCCGCCGTCTGAAGCAGGGCAGCTCGAATGGGTGCGATGCAATCTCCAGGACGAGAATGACGACAATGCTGCAAATGCTAGTCGAAAAGTGTTAGTCCTAGACGCACTTTGTATGCATGCATCTTCAGGTTGCGACGTACATTCCGATGACGGATACTGAAAAGTTCAGTTCAGTAATTGGGCTTTGTGTCACGAAGCCGGGGTAATGTGACAGAGCTACTGAAGAGAGAATCACGGCCGGAATCCAGAGCAAGAGACCCAAGCGGGCAACAATGACAGCCCATGACACCAAAGGTGATTGCAGTGACTGCCTCTTGACAACCTGGTAGTTGCGGAATGACACGATGATGTGTAACACCACATACATGGGGGAGATCATCGACTGCGATGAATTGTAAGCCTGCATTCCACTGAGCCACAGCCATCGGGGGCAACACTTACACCAAACAGAATAAAGCTCTGACTGAGACAGTCACGCTCGCCAGTCTTTGAGGGACGAAACTGAAGAGCCGAAAGACAAAGACCTCCCCCGGACGCGACGATCATGAGGAACATGACCGCGATCATGACAATCGGAAGAGGCTTGGGCGGGGATTTTGTGGAAACATCGCTTCCTGACATGGAGGACTTTGTCTCCAACGACTCGACGACACTGACGGTGTCGTCGCCTTTGAGAGAAGGAGCCATGGCAGAAGGCGGCGAGGGTTGATCGGATGCTGGACTGTTGCTTGAGAGTTCCCATCACCTTTACTCCGATATCCTTCTCTGAGCATGTTCATATATCATTTGAAGTGGGATGGCTGGTGTCTTCGCGATGGCTGCCAGCACTTGCTGGCGTGGCGGGTGGGCTCTCAGCATTCCAGCCCGAGACAAATCGAGGCACTGGTCGCTGGGGGCCAACGGCCATCTGGGGTGGTTGTGGGCTGGAGCACCGCTGCATCGGGACTCAAAGGCCTATCGATCTGATGCATTCCAGAGCCCGGCTGCTACTGAGCAGCCATAAACGCCTCGGAAAGCTGTGCGTGGTTGGCAGACTCAACTCAAGCCTGAGCTTCTCCTTGCCAATATCAGTAGACATGTCAATAACGGCCCGAGGCTGGTCAAGAATTTGTAGCTGAACCGGATGGCTCTGGCTTGCAGCCGGCCTCGTTGGGTGTGGAAGAAATCTGCTCAGCAATCGATCGCATCGGGATCAAGGTCGGTTGAGATATCAGACACTGAGTAAAGCGGGCCCAAGATGTGGGATAAAGTGACAAAGCTAGTAGGTAGGACGGCGTGTAAGTGACTCTCACTCATGATGATGTATTGGCGAAACAATCTGTTTTGAAAAACAAATCCTGCAACTAAATCCAATGATTGACAGTATCTGACTATGTAAATACCATGCATAGATATGTGTTTGATATATAGCGAGCGATTCTGGACGGGATGGCAGCCGGACAGGATATGGCCAGATGCATCACGCGTTCGAAGAATGGAAACATAGCCAACGCCTCATGGAGGGCAACTCACATCTCCTCTCCAAGGCGAGCCTCACGGTCGCCAGCCCAGTCATCCCGTTCGTAGAAGCGGAAGACGAGGTCGTAATCCTCAAAGTCATGGACAATACGATCAATGCGACGATACCCACGGACAGGGTCAACAAGACGCTGAACGGCAGTCGCACGAGAAGCATAATCACCCATGCCATAGGGGTTGGCGCTCTTGCCCTTGGCCTCAAACAGAGTAACACTGAAGCGGCCAGGCTTAAAGATGTCAACGACGTGCTCGATGATCTCAGCCGTGGTGCGACCACTCTGGCCCCCAGGAACGTTGGTCTCGAAAGAGGCGAACGAGCAGTTAGGCTCCGGAGTGACGTGGACAGTGAAGTAATGAGCAGCATTTCCGCCCTTCTCATTCTTCGAGTCATCATCTTCGTCGGCAATGGCAGGGACAACACCGTTGGCGGAAAAGCCACAAGGGCTGAAGAGGTAGGCGTCGACGCGAGCTCCGGGATACTTGCTGGTTGGATACACGCTGGAGAGGCCGCAACCCTCGGAAACAACAGTACCAATCGCGTGACCCTCGGTTGTCAGAGCCTCAGTGGCAGCACGCTCGCCATCGTTGAGGTCAGACTCGCCGATGTTCTCAAAGACGTCGACGTGGTCCTCGCCGCCCGCCTTCTCATGAACCTGAGACATGTCACCCAAACTCTGGTGGGCATCGTCCCGAGCCGCCTGTGTCTGCGGCAAGTGCAACTTGTCGGTAGCGACCGCACTCGCGTCCGCCAAGTAGAACTGCTTCGCATTTTCAGGGTCGAGATCGGTCATGAGAATTTCAAGAGTTTCGTCACTGCGCTCCTCGAAGCCGCTGCTGAAACTGGCCACGCTACCAGTGGGAATCCTGGCGGCAAATGCAGCAGCTTCTTCTGCCTCGTCGGGAGTCCTGGGGGGCGTCAAGGTTTTGTTCGGCGTGGTGATGTAGAGGTACCAGTGATCGCCGTTCATTTTGCCAACCATGTAGGCACTGCCACCCTCGAACAGGTCATCCAAGTATTTGACCTCGGATCTCCAGCTTCGGTGGGGGCCCTGCTGACGGTCAGGGAACAAAAAGTTCTTGCGGCTGTAGAAGACTCGGTAGGGGGTTGCAGCAGCCTTGACGTTGGTGGACTCCTTGGCGTTATGGAACGGAAAGCCGGCGTGTTCAGCCGCGATGTGGAGGAGTCGCTGCAAGCCCAAGAGGAGAGTGGTCGTGCCGCAGGTCTTGAGAATGAGCTTGTGGGGGAACACAAACAAGCTCGACTCGGACAAGAGATAGGCGTCGACAGAGTCAGACTCGAGGACTGACAGGATCTTGCAGTTGACCATGTCGAGCATGGTAACCCAGGTGTCGGCGGAGACGGCTTTCAGGCCATTGGGCTGGGCGCTCGCGGGGAGGGACTCGGGGCCAGGGGCGAACCACACTTCGAGGAGCTTCTCAGGGCCTGGAGAGTTTGTCTGTCAGCAAGCGGTCGGGTTAGAGGCTTATGATTTTGCTTGGGCCATATTACCTTCAAAGGCGTTGGTGGAGTCTAGGTCAGCAGCGACATCATGATTGATTGTCAGATGAGGAGTAGCCTCAGCCGGAGAGAGGGCGTAGTCGTTGGGGACGGAGGGGTTGACCATCTTCTGCAGGACTAGCTCTTTGGGCGCAACCCGGGAGCTCGTGTGAGAAAGAGTAGGCTTAGATGTTTGATGACTTTCCCGGTAAAGGGCTAGAAGTCCGCGGGACACTAGCTACCGCTCAAACGAACTTTGCGGCGTTCGTTTGAGAGAGTAGGCCCACAGGAGGGTGGACAATTTTGGAGGCTGGCGGAGCCAGCAGCAAACAGTGTATAGAAGGTGCAACGTCACTTAAGGACGTTAGGGAGGTCGAGCGTTGAGGGGTAGGAAAATAACCCTAAGGATCGGAATTGTGTCTTGTTGTAGGGCCTCGCTCTGGCAGAAACCGATACCTGTGGTGGAGTATCGGACCCGGCAGACGAGGTTATCTGCGCGATGGGAGGTCGGTTGGATGGCGGGAGACGGAGTGTAGTAGAAGAGCGATGCTTCTATGGAAGTGGTTGGTGCCTACGTGTTTAAGCAGGTGTTATCTGGGCCTAGGGAAGGAAAAAATTAGCGGGATGCGCCGATGTTGTGAAGGTAGTCAATTGTTGTGGGATTCAATCGATCAGTAGATAGAGCATGCGATGGATAATACTTCCATCGAGGAACCCAAGAGGAGAATGAAGGGCTTACTTTGCGGGCTTGGAGAGGAAGCGGAGGAGGTCGACTTGGTTCATAGATGGCCAGAAATTGGCTGAAGTCGCAGAACGAGGGGCAGCGTGAATGCCACCAGTAGAGAGATGACCGTCGCAGGGGACTAGGTTTGTATATCGATCATGGAGGTTTCCGTCGGGTTGAGAGACGAGATTTGTAGGTCGCACAACCGAAGAAAGGTTTCGGCGTGGAAAGGTAGGTTGTCAATTTTGAAGCTCCGGGAGGGATTCCGTCGTGGTGGATGTGGATGTGCTCGTTGTGGTTCGTGGTGGAGGGGAAGCGTTGTCTGGGTGGGCTAAGAACAAAAATAAAAAATATAAAAAATATAAAAAAAAAGTTGCTTCTGCAAATTGAGCGACAATTGGCGGCATGGGGGCGACCCCTCCCCGGCCTCTCCACACAAAAATTTCAGCCCAAGCTACGAGGAGCTGCCACTGCCCACCAGGAAAGAAGCCTGGGAGGACATTCTGGCTAAAACAGACATGGCGGTACTTGCTCTAAGGTACCTCCCTCACCAATCCCAGGTCTCACGGATATTTCCATTTGCGCACTTTTTTCAGATGGCAACGTTTCTTTGGCGGTATTTCTTGACCAACTGTCCGCTGCAGAGAGCCGTTTTGGGAATGCCCAATGTCTCCCTGCTAATAAAAACACCTGTCCCTTTCCCACCACCTTCGACTCTGCTGCAAACCGTATGAAGTACTGCACCGCGTAAGGTAGTAGTCAATCGCACTCACCTGCCAGTGGAGAGCTATGCCCGGGAAAGGACGGAAAAGACATCCTGGAGGTTGCGAGATAGCGCAGACAGGGAAAGACATTGGTGGCTTGGGCGCACTGCAGGGGGGGGGGACGTGTCGCTGAAGAACGGGACTCAGACGTCATTTCTCGCAGCTCCAGGCCTGGACCCAAGATTAACACCACCTGTTGCGGAGGGGTAACTTCCATTGTACCTTAGGTAAGGTAAGCACAGCAAAGTCACCAAATGTGAAGGATTCTGAGAGATCATTAGGCTTGAATTGCGATGCATCACATGGTAAGCATCAATTGAAAGAGAGAGGTAATGCATCTCTTCCTGATACCTACCATATCCAGTAAATACATACGAGTGGTGGGACATGCAGTGAAAAGCCATCGTGCTTCAACTTCTTGCGCAGTACCAGGATTTGACAGCGGCTTAGGCAAGGTACCTGTCAATCAGGTACCACCATGTTTTTGCGGGGCTTTGCCCGTCCGAGGCACCGGGATGCCACCAATCTCGATGCATCCTCACGTGCTTCCAAACCTTTCTGCGAATCGATGACTGGGCCGCCCATCGGACTTTGTCAACGACAGCGGAGTCGGGCCCGGTCAGCGTGGAGCGAGCATGGTGTTCTGTATGCTGTCCGGTCTCTGGAAACCCCCAGTATCTCTCAGATGCGTGTTGAGCTGAAATTTCGCATGCTGCTTTGACTTCGCCATACCCAGTTTTTCTGTACCTTACAGTACGGTGAGGCTTCTGGCGGTTCGTTTCTGGCTGTTCCCAATCCCTGGTACGTCGTGTGCCTAGAATTGGGCACCAAGCCGAGCGTCCTCTTCATCTCGCCAGGGGCAAAGACTTGCGGCACGGTGCAGATACTGAGCCTGTCGTCTACTGCTTGAGTTGACATTGTATCCGTAGATGGCTCATTTTGCTCATGACTGTGCTTGTGCCTCTACCGTTGTTGTGAGTTTGGAAGTAATGTCGCTAAAGATGTGAGACAGCGAACAGTCCTGGTACTTCTCGACAAGAGTATCGCCCTTTGTCTCGCCCTCCTTTTCGGCCTGGCCGATATCCTGACCGTGTATTTGCGTTCCTTGAGGGTACTGCGGCCTCCTGCCGGATTCGACAAGTTCGCCAAACTGAGGGTCGATGGGTACGGTGCCGAGGAATGGTACCGAGAACTCCTGGGCCATGACGGCTCCTCCACCAGAGCTGAAAATGTTGGTGCACTCTGAGCAGTGAGGGCAGACGAAGCCGCTCATGTTCTCAACCACACCGAGAACCTTGATATTGGTCTTGACACAAAAGTTGAGCTCCTTTTTGACATCTGCCGTGGCCACCGCCTGTGGTGTCGTAACTACAACGGCACCCGCGACCTGGCCAGGCCGAGCATCTCGCAGCAGTGTCTCGGCAAGGGAAATATGCTCGTCGCTGGTACCCGGGGGCGTATCGATGAGTAGATAGTCCGTCTCATCCCACAGGACGTCAGAGAGGAACTGCCGGACCATGGCCGTCTTTTTGGGTCCGCGCCAGACAACGGCATCGCCACGTCTGGGCAGGAGGAACCCAAGGCTCATGGCATGGAATGAGCCTATACCCTTCTCTTCGACGGCGTCATGGACAGGCACGGGGAGCCAGCCTCCGGGCGCTTGCTTGACCTTCTCCGCTTCGATCGACAGCATGCGAGGGATTGAAGGTCCGGTGAGGTCGACATCGAGTACACCAACAGAATGCCCTGCGAGCGCGAGGGACAGGGCTAGTTGCGTCGTCACTGAAGACTTTCCAACACCACCTTTGCCCGACAAGACCTACATGGCCAGTCAGTCGACATTTAGTTACACGGAGAGAAAAAATGAGGGGTCATACCAGCACAATGTGCTTCACTTTAGAAAGCGACATGTTGATGACGATGGAATCCTTTAAAGTGTGGGAGTGAGATTTGCTGCATAGAAGAGTTTCGTCGGAAAAGCGAAGTGCACCGAGTAAGTAAGGTACCTATGTCACCAGAGAAGAAGGTGAGGTTGAAGAGCAAGTCAAATGGGCATCATTTGAAATCAAGCTATGCTTGTTCCCCACCCACTGGCAGTGTGACTGTGTGAGCCCGCGGGGTTAAGTTGGTAAGCACAAAAAAGACAACCAAGCCACACACCGTAATGAGAAAGTTTGCCTCTGGCCGTGGGTAACAGTCTAGTCTACCTATGCCCGAAGTGATCGACTCTGGAGATACCGGTAGGAACCTAAGGTAAGTAGATCATGGATGGTACTGTTGGTAACGGTTGACGTGTTCTAGAAGAATTCCATGGCATCCCTTGATCTACCCCTCCAACACTCACCTCACTCACATGGATGCTGTCATCCGCAATCGGCGCGGATGGAACCTATGCTGTGGCTCTAGCTGCTTATCTTATCTTATCGTACATATGCTTATCGATACTTGATTGTGGCTAAACGTCGGGTCATCGAACGGAGTGCGTGCAACCCGCACCCTTACTTAGCGTGCTTAGGTAATGAAGTTGAAGGGAAGGGGTGAAGGGACGCGGCTGGAACCGTGGGATCCACCGGTAGAACGCCAAGCTCCAATCCCGGACACGCAGTGAGTTGAAGTTGAAGGGACTCCTGGTCGCGCACAGACACTCTCCGACACGTCCGGAATCCACGACGGGTCAGGTCGTCTGGCAACTGGATGCCATTTCTGGTTCTGGACTTGGTTCTGGGTCTCCATCTCCGTGTCTGCGACAATCAGTCCGTCCCTTACCTTCCATTCCCTGGGCAGTCTGATCTCCCATCCCAAATCTCGCAATCTCCGTTCCCTTTTTTCCGTCCATACCTTGAACAGTTCAATTCGCGAAGCTTGTTTTTTACGGTCGAGTTCTTCATTAACACTAGCGCGTCCACTCATTGAGACAACGCCATCCGCTTCACACTCTTTGGGAACTTCCTCTTTGTTCCAGTTTCGCTTCTGTTCCTGTTGCACAGCTTGGGGAATCGCTCTGCGACCAACCGAGTCGCGGCTCGCGAATCCAAGAGACAACAACATGGCTATCTAGCCTGCCCCTCAATCGCAACATCCTCACTCGCGGAAGACCGCACACTTCCTCAAATTGACCTCCTCAACATCATGAATTGTAGTGTCGCACAATGGACGATCCATGGGGCTCCCCGTGGGCATCTACCGACAATACAAATGCGCCTTCTACCAGTCCCTCCAAGACCATCATCGAACCTCCACCACCCGCCTTCCTCTCCACCCCGAGCAACCTGAATCTACCTTCCAGCCAGTCAGCCTGGCTCAACGACGATGCCTTTGGCGATTGGGCATCCCCTGACCCCGGACAGGCTACGAATGCATCTCCGTGGACTTGGGGCAACGATGCCACGCCAATCGAAGGTCTGACACCGAGCTATGAGCCCAGGCCTAGAAGGAAGAGCAGCACACCCAGGTGGCCTCGAAGCCGATCACCCTCGCCGGGACTGAGACCTCCCATTACTCCCAACACCGCCCCTCACAGCGCTTCCCCCGGCCAGCCTTCACCCGACCCCTGGGCAAACCACGTATCGACCTATACAAGAGACGACCCCGAACCCTTGGCCGATCTTCCCCAGATACCAGACGTCCCGCCGCTTGTGCTCGAGCAAGCGCAGATTGGTCTGGGCTTAACGAATACTCCCAATGCGTTTGAAAAGGAATTCATTGCCCATGCGCCAATAACTACACAATTCGCCGAACCTCTTGCCGACCCCTCACAAGAATACCTACAGTTCAGCGATACTCCGATTTTCGATCGATTCCCTACTACTCCAAAGCACGATCACGATGTCGCTCATTCATCAGCCTCGGTCTCAGCCTCGTCTGACAACGACGACGAACACGACGAACAGACAGGCGCGAGACACGCTGACTCTCCTATAACCTCTATCGAAGACAATGCACTACCGAAACCTGCGCAGAGGAAAGCCTCTGGCAAGGTTCTGGAGCTCGTTGAGATGTATGACGGCATTGCCAAGCGAAGCACAGATTCTCCCGAGAGGGCGCCTTCATTACGCCGTAGCGTAAGCCGAGGGCCCGATATTGGCTCAGGAGATTTACCCTGCCAGGGAACTACCAAAGACGACCTAGCAGAAGAGGATCAGGAGGAAACGGAATCTCGCGACACGCTGGAGCCGACTGCAAAGGAATCACTCGATCAAGGGAGCAACGCTGAAGAGGAGACTCTCAAGATTGACAAGCCAACACGCCCAGACCACGAGCCCTTCAGGGTTGACCTTCAACATCTCGAACTTCTCCTGCCAGATGTCTCCTTGGATGAATCGGTTTCACCCGAAGATGTGCCGGATCGAGTTATACACGACAGCTTCGTGAGCATCTCCGAGCGCAAGATGTGGTATCGGTTGTCCCGCCACGAGTCTTTGCGCAAGCACAATGCGGGAGACGACGACAATTATGTCCGAATCAACTGGACAAATTCCACTCTCCGACAAGAAACGTTGAAAACTGTTCGTCGTTGGATAGAGGAAGATTCATTCGGCGGACGACCTTTCCGAGGAGGACTGGCACGAAATGCGGGCGGCAAAAGCTTCGGCTGGGACGCGACAACAGCAGCATCTCCGGTCGACCTCGACAGAGTATTCGGCCGTAAGGCAAAGCGGAAAGCGTCCATCCACCGTCCAACACATTCAATAAGCGGCCTACCCTCGCTATCAGCAGCTCCTGTTCTCCCTGGCTCTACGGGGAGCACGCCAGCCATGGGACAAAGCAACGACAATTGGGAGGGTCTGGCGACGTTTGGCTGGAGCAGCGGGCCAGGGGATATAAAACCACCATCGGGAACGACGATGCAAAAGCCTCAGGCTACAGGTATACCACTACCTCTGGCCTTCACTGGGTTTGACAACGCGCCAAAGTCACATGCGTCCCTCCCGGCGTTCATCAAGCCGATCGCGCCGACACCTCCACCAGCGCTCAGCGCTACGAGCTTGAAGGAGGTTGAGGGTGCGGATGCGGATGCAGATGCGGATGACGATGAATGGGGAGACATGGTTTCTCCAACGACGGCTGAAGCAACGGATTCCACTTCCCTTCCCAAGACTAGTTGGGATTCATTCTCGACCAACCCGCTAGCCGAAGTCACGAGCAAGCCGCCTCCCGATGCCTTCCTGACTAGCAGCCACCCGGGAGCCGATGCACTCCGCACCGGGAATAACAAAGAAAACGATTCCCGTAACAAATCAGGACTGTGGGATATTGGCAATGTCATCAGCAGCCCCGCCCCCGCCTCCACAATATCTGCGGCAGCAGGTGTACCCCAAAGCCAAGACGGTCCTCTCAGCCCGTCAGAATCTGCGAATACATACACATTCAGGCCAGCGTCTACAGTTAAGCGACCAGCAAATATCTCTATCGCAGCCACCCTCGACGACCCGCCGGACCCATTGATGTCTGGTATTACCGGCGTATCTGCGGGAGGGCCTGCTGAAACCCCACGCACAACGGGCTTCCAGACGCCGTCCACGGCGCAACCGCCCAAGACGAGCACCGAGGGTTACGATTTTGTGCAGCAATTTGTGCGTGAGCTGCCAGATTTATCGTATATGCTTAGATGAGCGTTTTTTTCCTGGCCATTTTGACACTATTCATATAAAGTACCTCGACGTAAGCTGCGGTAGAAGCGCGAGAGGACGGCTGGCATTCAGGTAGCGGTTTACTGGACTCATGCTTCCTTCATTATCACATCATTTAGCCGTACACTTAAAGTATACATGTATATTGCATTCTCTCTGGCGTTTGGTGGACATTGGAAAATCCCATAGGGCCGGATGGTAAAGGCACCTTGGACAAGGACCTTGTTCTGGCACACATACATGGTATATAGGGAGTGGTCGTACAATTTAGGCAGTACTTTTTTGACTCAAGCACGTCTTCTTTTGCATGCCTCGGTATGGCTCGCGATGAACAGAGCTCCGTGTTTAAACCCGAGGCAACGCAAATCTCGGAGGCGTATGACGTGCGGCCAAGCCGTTTTGTGAGGCCGAGCACATCCACCTGTGGGTTATGCCAGCGGGGCGTTTGACCGGAAAGGATGGGCATCCCCCGTGTCAGAGCCCCGACTCGCGATCCCGACTTTGACTGCCGTCTCGACCGTGATTGCCGTACTCAGTGCCGTGCGGGGACTCGCGGGGGGGATTAGGGCTCTCGTTGCGGGATGGCTGTGTCAAAGGGGGCGTCGTCTGGTCTTAGCCAAAGGATTTGGACGGGGGGAGAGGCGTGTCGGTTCTCCGCGCCCCGCGATATCCACCAGGACAGGGTCCCAAAGAAAGCTTAACGCACAGCGTAGCGTCACGGGTGTCTCGGTTTGTTATCATCTTTTTTTAAATGGCTGCTGCTTGTGTTTTGGGAGACGTAACTAACCTTAGCACCTTGGAACGGATACTCTCTCACACACACCCACACCCACACTCACGAGAGAACAAGTACAAGAAGGGCCCCCGGCGTCCACATGTCGACAACTTTCTGATTATTCCCGTGGAACTCTAAACCTACTTCGAAGTCCATTGGGACCCTTTTTACTCAAATATCAGCTCCTCTCGACCTCCCTTCTCCGAATCTTGGAAAAGGTGGACCAGCTTCATTCATGACTAGAGAAGCTTGACTATGGCCATCTTAGAGCTTCTCATCACGCCTTGGGCACCGGCCCTGGTGGTCGTAGGCGTAGTTGTATACTACCTCTACCCTTTCTTCGTCACATTCGGTTCCCTTCGTGGGATTCCGGCACCGTTCCCAGCACAATTCACCAATCTGTGGCTGCTCTCCGTCGTCCGGCGTGGCACGCGATACCAAACCGTCGATGAGATCCACAAGAAGATGGGGCCCGTGGTTCGCATCCAGCCCAACCATGTGAGCATTGCCGACGATGAGGCCATTCAGGCCATCTATGGTCACGGCAACGGCTTTCTCAAGTCGTAAGTGTTCACACTCACTCAAAAATGGGCTATGCGCTCTCCTTTGCCGGTGGGCTTCGAGCTCAAGTCCCCAGAGCCAAGACCATTCAATGTTTGACTCAAGACATACTGACCCCGCACCAGAGACTTTTACGACGCCTTTGTCTCCATTCGGAGAGGACTCTTTAACACCAGAGACCGTCATGAGCATTCACGCAAGCGCAAGATTGTGTCGCACACCTTTTCCGTCAAGTCAATTGGCCAATTCGAGCCGTATATGCACGAGAACCTGGTCCTCTTCGTCCAAAAGTGGGATGAGCTCGCCAAGAACAACCCAGCTGGCGCCACCATTGACTGCTTGAAATGGTTCAACTACCTGGCATTTGACATTATTGGCGATTTGGCCTTCGGCGCGCCGTTTGGCATGCTTGCATCCGGTGCTGATATTGCCGAGGTTCGCGAATCCCCTAACAGCCCGCCCATCTACGCACCCGCCATTGAAATTCTGAACCGGAGAGGCGAGGTTTCTGCCACTCTTGGAATTCTCCCCGACCTGAAGCCCTGGGCAAAGTACATTCCGGATCCCTTCTTCAGCCAAGGCTTGGAGGCCGTGCAGAATCTCGCGGGCATGGCTATCGCGCGTGTCAAGGCTAGACTGGACAACCCGCCCGATATCGACAGACTGGATCTGCTTGCGCGACTGATGGAGGGACGTGACGACAAGGGAGAGCCTCTGGGCAGAGAGGAGCTTACTGCCGAGGCCTTGACGCAGCTGATTGCCGGTAGCGACACGACTTCCAACTCTTCTTGCGCGCTTCTATACCACGCTGCAAGAACCCCTGGCGTGTTGGAGAAGCTGCAAAAGGAACTCGACGAGGCCATCGCCCCCACCGTCGATGTTCCGACCTACGAGATGATCAAGGATCTTCCCTACCTCGCCATGGTCATTGACGAGACGCTCCGCTTCCACTCCACCTCTGGCATCGGTCTACCACGCCAAATCCCCGAAAACTCACCCGGCGTCACCATTCGCGGCCACTTCTTCCCTCCCGGCACCGTTCTTAGCGTTCCTTCCTACACCATGCACCACTCCAAGGAGATTTGGGGACCGGATGCTGACGATTTCCGCCCCGAGAGATGGGAGTCGCTTACGGCGAGGCAGAAAAATGCCTTCATCCCGTTCAGCACCGGACCCAGGGCATGCGTTGGAAGGAACGTGGCCGAGATGGAGATGAAGCTCATTGTCGCGACGTGGGCTAGGAGGTACAAAGTTGAGCTGAGACAAGAGATTATGGAGACCAACGAGGGATTCCTGAGGAAGCCTCTGGCACTCGACATCAACATCAAGAGGCGGTGAATTACGCAACTGTTTGGCTGGAAATGTGGCCTTGGGGCTTCTTAGATTGTCACGGCAGGGTATATAGCGCTTGCACTTGCTTTCAATTGACACCCAATATTCTCGAGCTCATTCATTTCTCAATGCTCGTAAACCCATGTCCCGGTACCTTCAAGCCACGCGATATCCATGGTCACATCGTCTCACTTAGAAGGTCACCTTCAGTAACCAGCACTCACTAGTTTCTAGGACTGTGAATGGTTTCTGCAATGCACTATCTCAAATGCATGCTGGCCGTACCGAGCATTCTCACTTTCAACCAAGCTGTGGCAACGTTGCATATGCTTGGACTGTTAGCCGCCACTGGACAAGTCTGGCTCGCGGAGATACCAAGAATGTTGCCGCACACCCGGAAAGCTTCAAGCTTCTTGATAAGTTAATAACGTCTGTGTCCTCGGACGGTGAGGAAATGGTCCACACGCCGGCGGGATAAGATGGGTCAACGTCTGATTTCAGGGTTCTGGTCAAAGGAGGTTTGGCCAATATAGTTGATAAAGCTTGAAGTGTTTATACAATGGCCAATCGTATGCATCAAATATCTCTTTAGAGTTTGCTCCAGGGCCCATGGATTTCGGTGTACATCCCCGTGTACCTCTCCGGCACTAGAACTCGCCTTGGAAATCGCCTTGTGCCCACTCATTTGAGAACCATGCCAAAGAATCCAGCCCCATGGGTTCCATGTTGAAATCAAGACTGTCAAGTGCTCCCTCGAATGCATTATTGACTTCCAGTGAGCCGAGCGCAGTGGGCTGTGGTGGCACAGGCGCCTGCTCGTCTGGCTTGTTGGATTCGGGAACCTGTATATCTTCCCAAGCACCAATGCCAAATGGTCGATTGGTGAGCTCGTCGGCCGCCGGCGCGCCTCTGTCTGGGTCGTCCGCCAACTGCACCTGCTTCGCGCGAGCAAGGCGAATGCGCTTGGCACCGTTGCCATTTCTCTCGTCCTGGGGCTCTTCACTAAGCAGCCGACTAGGGGTAGCCTGTATCGAGAGACCGTGGTCCATGAGTCGTTGAAGATCGGCTTGCTGTGATCACTGATCAGTAAACTCCTTGGTGAGACAAAAGCGCTCGTGTTACTAACAATTGAGACTGCAGCTGTTCCAGAGCAACAGCCCTTGGTCACCTCGAGACAAACCGAAGCCTTTTTACGAAGGATCTCTGGCGTGAGACCGTACTCTTCCGCGTTCAAATGGTAGATGTAGTAAAGCATACGGATACACTGATATGCGCACACCGGCATATCGAGGTCCGCAACGGGGTAATGGTCCAGCGCTCTGATGGAGGTGAACATATTTGACATTTCCATCGCATGCTCGTAGCACTGGCGCTGACAACCAGCGATGAACTCTGGTCCCAGCCGTTCAGCAGCTGATCGAGTCAAAGAATCGCGAAGCCCAACAAGTCCTATCCTGAAGAGATCACAGTTGCACTGCCGCAACCAGACATGAATCATGATGAAGACGCAAAGGCGTGGAGAATATGCTCTCAACCGCAGGCTGTTGTCAGACCAGCGGAACGACACAGGCAAGCGCTCAGCAAAGTCTGAGAGCTCCTTTGCAAACGACTGGAGTTGCTCCTGAAGGCGGCCAAGGTCGTCGTTGGAACAATTTGAGGCTCGCTTGGCGAACTTGAGGATTCTGCCGCGGAGCCAGAGAATGCGCACATGTAATGCTAAGCTGCCAATATCGTCATTCTCGGACTCATCGGGACTAGGGACCAGCGGTCGTAGCGATGGCGGCGCAAGATCGAACTCGAAGTCTCTCTCGTTGCAAGGGAGCGAAATGTGAATCGTCTCGGGCGTCCACAGGGTTAGATCGCGGTATCCTCCAGCCATGCCTTGGTCAATCATGAATAATGCCCACATGAGACGGCGTCTTGATTCCTGGGCGAGGAAGCACAGATCTGGGTTGTCGTAGTTGAGTCGAAGAGCCGTAGCGAATCTGGCCGCGGTAGCAGCAAGCATAAAAGCGCTCGAAAAGCGTCGTGTCAAGATCCGATACTTGATTATGAGAGCAAGGGTTTGCACTTTGATCGTTGACGCATTCTCGAGGCCCTTCAAGATGAGACCCTCAGACTCATCAATACATTTCTCGCCATACTCTCGCGTTCCCGGCCCAAGGTCAGTGAGCATGCTCGTGATGCCAATTAGAGCCAACAGCAGCGGTCGGTCTAAACCGCCAACATTATGCCGCTGCATGAGAGAGGCCCGGTGAAGGAAAGACAACATGGGAATGTGATGAACATGGCGAAAGAAATTGTCCAGAGCTCGACTGATCAGAGACTCGAACTGAGGATCAGGTGCCGAGCTGAATTCAGTCAGTGGACGAGGTACGAGAGTGAGTAAGGACAGTAAGAGTGAGCCTACAGATCATGATTAAAGGTGCTGGGGGTGTTGGACGCCATGGCATCGGCCATGGCGGCATCGGAATCGTGTGCCACATCATCCCTGGACAATGACCGACGGTTTCGAGTGTCACGGTTGGTAGCCGGTGCCGAGTTCGACGAAGTCGGTGATCTGACTACTTGGTCGACGAGACCCGGGGGATTGACGCTCAGCCGGGTGCGCTTGGAAGCTCTGTAGACGCACTCGATGCCTTGGGTACGACATCGGTCACAAGCCGGTGTGTGACCACTACACCGAGCTTTACGTGAGTGACAGCTCTGGCATGCTTGTCGGACACGGCGTCTTGGTAAGGGAAAGGTGGGAGCGGCAGCAACACCATTAGCATCGGAAGATGGGTCTTCGTAAGTACAAGAGAAACCGAGGCGTTCGCAGTTGCTGCAAATGTCGCGTCGGCCGTCGCAGCGGACCTTACGGGCCCGGCAGGTGACACATGTCGTCGCCGAGGACCGCTTTGTCGGTTTCGGAGACACGGACGAGGCTGCGGCTGATGCTGTCACGGTGGTAGCTGCGGCGGCGGCCAGGTCTGCGGTTGTGTTTGCCGTCGTTGAGGCGGCGGCGGTGGTGGCAGCGGCTGTCGGTGGTCTGTCGGGTCGGAGGTGATGTCCAAGGTTGTCGCTATTGTTATTGTTGACGCTGCTGTTGCCGATGGTGTTGCTCCCGTACAGGTCTGCCATTCTCCCAATTACCTCGATAGGCGCGCGCCCTCGTTACTCACCGGAACTCGGCGGCGCGTACAATAGACATGGAGAGACAGATGAGGCTCAGTCTAGGGCTCATGGGTTGCCCATTCCGGAGAACAATCGGCGTGGGTCTCTTTGAATGCGTGCGCGCAGCCGGCAGCGTGTCTACTTAGCTACTGTATTCGTTCCGAGCTGTGACTAGGTGATTATGCAGGAGAAATCCGGGGAACAATCACACTGTGCGTGACTGTGCAGCTCACTTGACGTAAGGTAGGGCAGAGTGTGAGGATTGGCAGTCAGTTGGGGGATACGGAGGACGGGGAATGCGTGGGAAGAGAGAAGGAGACGGAGGAGATTGGCTCTGGGAGGCGCTCCGTGACCGAACTGTGAACTGTGCATGTGTCTCTCGGCACCACACTTGTTCTCACTGCTCAATCCTCAATCCCCGGCAACGGTCCCTCTCAGGCGACAATACCTACACTCTATTCCATGTACGTTCCTGGCACAAGTCATAGCCGTAACCGGGCCCTTTCGGGGGTGTCTCTGAGACCTGGGGAGCCTTGGGAGGTGACATTAGTTCCTTGGTATCGGAGCTTTCAGGCGAGCTCAGCTGAGCAAGCCGATCCATCATTGCTGGGCAATAATCAGTGGGGTGTGCTCCCCTTCTACTGCCAAATTGCCAACGTAGCTCCCCGAAAATCTCTCCGGTGGGAGGGATGTTAGGGCGAGGAACTTTGTTTCTAGAACACCCAACGCCACAAATACCCTAAGAGACCTTGAGAGTCTGTGAGACGTAAAAGCCATGCAGCGATTCCACTCAAGCTGACCCAACAAATTCAACGATAGGTCGAGCTCGGAATATCTTGACTTTAGCAGGCAAAAGTGAGTCTCCTGCAAAACTGTCCCTTGTCCATGGGTTATGCCAAAACAACGGTGAAGAGATCACCGTCATTTGGGGAACCATCCACACAACACCACTCCGGCACAAGGAGCGGCTGTCGGCAACCTAAGGGCCTAGATGAACTTGGATCTGTAAGACATTTGCGAACGAGACTGAACGCTCAATTATAGCTCGAGCGTCGAGAAGCAGTCCTTGAAACTAGCCACAGCTGTAGAGGCGCCTTTACAGTCACGCGACACAATCTGAATATGTGCATTTCATAGAGGCTGAAAAGCATGTAAGAGGCAGCACCCCGGCTGTCGGCTTTGAGAAGAACACCGATTGCCGGCACCGAAAGCCGCGCTTGGGTAACCTCCAGAATACGCCGTTTCTGCATTTCGCACGCAATCGCATTAGGACCAATACTGAAGGCTCTTTTTGAAGGCATACCAGACTCCAAAGAACATTTGACCAAGGTCAGTTCATTGTTGTGGTGGGTTGCCTCATGGAGAGAGAAGCTTGGTATTGCCGAGAGCCGAGACCCTCTTGTCCTCTATGAGTATGAGCGCTTCACCGCAGCTTCTCTTTGTCACATGGAATCTGGCTTCTGTTATCCTTCGAATATGTCGTAGACATGGAGCCCCCTCTAGCGTCTAACGGCGGTCAACCGCTGCCTCGATTGCCTGGTAACTCCGTACTATGTGCTTCACAGAGAATGTAAGTCTCTCTGTTGATTCTCGACAAAACAGTCTAGGTACATGTAGTGAAGGTAGTCTATACTAATCCGTGGCGCCTATTTTATCACAACCTCCTGCAAAAGTGAGTCAAAAGAGCCTGGTCAATTATGATAACGACATAAGACACAGTGTGTGATTTGACTGAATGACCAGATGAATGCTTCACGCTCTATCCGGATTTGGATGCGCTACACCGACAGTGCAGTCAGGGATCCTCGGTGAGGCGAGGCGGTCAAGGTCTGGCCGGGTGGCGGTGCGGGGCTTGACCGAGCCAAAAGGGAGGGATGGCCTGGGCGGCTGTCTTATCGAAGAAAAAAACTACACCCCACCACAACCCCGCGATAATAGAGAAATTTCCCATTCCGTTCAAAATCATTCACCGCACTCACTGCCTGCTGCCTCGACACTCTCGATTTGCCTGCTTCGAAAGCTCGTTCTTCGCCGGTTTTCGGCGCATAAAAATCCCACCACAGACCAAAAGTCGACGAGCCATCATGTCCACCGATGCCATGGCCGCCCCGGCGGTCGCAAGCCCAACCGCTGCCGAGGAGCGCAAACCCATCCACGCCCTTGTTCTGGATACCGGCCCATTGATCAAGAACGACCCTCCTGTCAGCACTCTACTCGCACAGGCCGATGAGCTCTACATGCTACCCTCCATTGTCGACGAAATTCGCGATGTCAGCACCCGCACTCGAGTTCAGACTACCCTCATGCCTTTCGTCAAGCTTCGCAACCCCCGCCCCGACAGCATCAAATTCGTGTCCGATTTTGCGCGCCGGTCTGGTGATCTCGAGGTTCTCAGCAGACCTGATTTGCACTTGCTTGCCTTGACCTACGAACTCGAGCTTGAGAAGACTGGAGGCGACCAGAATCTGAGGAAACAGCCGGGTGCGCGGTCTTCGAACGACAAGGCACCCGGGGCCGAGACGCCGGTACCAGAAGCCGAGGCCGAAACTGAGTCGCAGGGAAAGCCCGCGACCGAGACCGATGAAGTGGCGGGGCCCGCGCAAGTCCAGGAGGACACTTCAATTGAACAGAGCGCCGAGAAGACACAAACCGAAACTCAGCAGAGCGCGACAGTGGAAGCCTCGTCATCGGACGTTGAGACGGCACAGATTACACAAGATATGAGCAACCTCGAGGTGGACGACAAGACAACATCCGAGCCAGCTGTAACAAGCGTCGCTGGCGCCGATGAGGCTCAAGGGGAGGAGTCAGATTCCGAAGACGGTTGGATTACACCATCCAATGTGAAGAAGCAAAAAGAGAAGGACAGCAAGTTGCCGCAGCCGACTGCGCCTGCGATTGACATCAAGGTCGGAATCCTTACCTCCGATTACGCCATGCAGAACGTCGCTCTGAGAATTGGGCTCAATTTGCTCTCGCCGTCCATGTCGCGCATCACTCAACTCAAGACGTGGGTCCTGCGATGCCACGGGTGCTTCCAGGTCTGCAAGAAGATGGACCGTCAGTTTTGCCCTAGCTGTGGACAGGCCACTTTAATTCGCACGTCTTGCACGACCGACGAGGACGGCACCTTCAAGATCCACTTGAAGCGCAACTTCCAGTGGAACAATAGGGGCAATGTTTTCAGTATTCCCAAGCCTTCAGCTGGCACAGCCAGCGGCAAACTTTCCAAGAACGTCGGCGGCAAGAACAACTGGGGTACCAACCTCATTTTCGCGGAAGATCAAAAGGAGTACGAGAGGGCTGTGGGTGACAATCGCCGTGCCCGGCGGAGAGATCTCATGGACGAGGATTACCTCCCGAGCATTCTTACAGGTGATCGCCAAACTGGTGCCAACGGCAAGGTGCGACTGGGTCCGGGAAGAAACATAAACGGTCGTAGGAGGAGATGAGAGGCAGCAGGTGGCTGGAAGCTGATGTTTATATGTTCTGCATGATACCATGATAGACCCCTTGAAAGGCAGGAAAAGGGCCGCTCAACGCAAAGAGTCGAACGGGATGGGAAGAAGTAAAAAAAAACGAGGTTGGATTTTGGAAGTGTCGCTCTGATTGTAGGAATTGCAGAGCAATCTATCGTAACACGGACCTAGTTAAAAAGACTCCGATGATCCCCTGAATGCAAGCCTTTCCCCAACGCCGATTTTTGTATACCTGGGCTTGTATTCACGAGCCTTGAACAATTGTCGAGGGCTTCGTTGACCCTCCCTCCGTGCCAGACCATGTCTCATGTTCCATTTGTTGTGGATGAGTCGTTCTCAGCGGGCGCATGGTGCCGTGAAGGAGCTGGGATCGAGTGGCCGGATGTATGGTTTTTCGATTGCTTCTTGTGCGATTGACATATTTACTCGGCCTCTGAAAGGATACATTTAGATTGGTTTCCGGTCGAGTATGAGGCGGAAAACTTACTCTGCTGCGTAAGCAGAAGGTTGAAGCGACGCTTGAGCGTCACGCGCTGGCGCGACCACTTGTCATCGGGAGAGAAGCGGGCAGGGTGGGCAGACTTGGTGACCTTGCCGTCGACAACCTTCTTGAGGGTGTAGACACGGCTGCCCGCCTCATCGAGAGTGTACATCAAGTGCATCGTAGAAATCGGGTGGATGTGGTCGGGTTGAGCGTAGAATTGTCGGTGGGTGGTGATCACTGTGCAACGCTTGGGCTGGAGAAACTTTTTTTTCTTCTGGCTTTGCGATTCAGATATTTTGGGTTCACGTGACTGTCGGTCAGCAGCCAATAGATAAGGCCAATCGGGGCATCTGCTCGGTGGGGCAGCCTAAAAGGTTCCTTACCTGCCCGAACCTCAAAAGCGATTCCGTAAGGCACAGTAAGGTACCTTAAGGTAGGAAGCTCAGTACCTGAGGTACCTTATCTACCAATGTCACAACCCAACACGAACGCTTGTTTGTTAGAAAATCGCCACATTGCCTTACTGAAGTGTCAATTCACGCACATGTGGAGTTCTTCCGGCGCTTTCTAATTATCATCCAAGTCGGAAAACAATGCAATGTTCAAGGTAATGGCCTTATCAAATCTGATGGCTAGAGGCAACTGTTGCAGCATTGAATGGCATGACCTACAATCAGAAGTTGCGACACCATATACCTGGTCCATCCGACTTCTGATCAAGTGTAGGGACTGCCTACCCTCCCCGCCCTTAATGATGGTGCCCCATCCCCTGCTCCTTAAAGGGCTTAATGCTGTTGCCCTTGGGAAAGGAAGGTCCTACTAATGGTGAGCGCACATTGTGATCATTGCGGAGTAATGAACGCACCGAACTTCGGGTGGACGATATAGTTGTCCTGATACACGTCTACTGTATTGTCCCGAGAATAGTCCATGACCTTGTCAAAGTCAACACACTGGTGAGGCGCTGTTTGGTTCACGATGGGCTTCGCGTCGATGTCAGTCCACATGTGGGTGATGATGGAAATGTCACCACGGCAGGCTGCACCCATGCGGAGGACCTCAAGACAGTGCTCTGTGATGTCGATTAGTACTATCCCCAGTTCGACGACTACGCGGTCTCGTTGACAAACTCACGGTTGTGCTCTCGATTCGTAGCGATTTCTTGCTTAGTTGCATTGGGAAAGTAGTAGTCGGGCGACAGCGTTTGGTAGAGACGCTTCTGTGCATCTGGTTAACTCTGCTCAGATAATCGGCATGGGCAGAAGATGACTTGCAATGCAGTGCAATTCGTGGAAGACACTGAGCATGCCAAGATACCCGCCATCAGGTAGCTTTACCGCCTCATGCTCCCGTCCCCAGCGATGAACCCATTCCTCGGAAACTCGGATATTGTTGTCTAAGGTAGGCGACTCAGATTAGTACCTGACACGAGCTTGTTCCACGTAGATTCCGCAGTGACCTACACTGTAGCAAGTCCCTCCATGCTTGATCTACCTCCGGTCTTGGTTCGCCCGTGTATTTGCCATGTGGCGGGCCTTGAATAGGGAAGACTTCGAGATGAGTCTCCTCGCCGACAGCCTTTGGTGGTGCTGTACCACAGTGAGTTTCTGGGCCTGGGATAAAGCAGACATTTCAGTAGAGTGAAACTTACCATCTATCAAACTAAACACTCCCGAAAATGGTCTGTTGGGCAATAATGAAACAGCAAAGATTGCGGTGTAGATGGTGATCAAGACGGCATGGAGAGTCCACACCCCGAATTTACCAAGCTTTGACGTGTGCCGTATATTTGCTGCTGCAACTGCGGCCTCGACAGCTTCACGACTCGATGCTAGACTCTCATCAGAGTACACAGGCGAGTACTCTTTGTGATCTCGGCCCATCTTTGAGCTGAATTCTCGATAGCGTTTGGAGGTGAGGTAGATAGGAAGTCTGCCAAAGGCTCGACAATAGTAGAGAATGAGATTCACAGGTGAAAGAGACTGAGACAATTGAGCCGTCCGAACGGCCAAATGGTAGACGAAACCAGACGAGGGGAAGACGCCGAGTGAGTGGTGCAAATTGCCACGAGATAGCGTCTTCGAATCAAAGCTGGAAGGATTCGTGAGGGATCACAAAGCGCCGTAAACTCCGCCACCGTCACAGACGTGGGTGGGCGTATCCCGCCTAACGACCTAAGCGGGACATGCGCTGATGATAATCCTTTCCTCCAGATCTGGAAGGTCTGTACAGTGAAGGTCATCTTATCTGCGATGGCGTTTTGAGCTTACCTCCGTCAGAGGTGGAACAGAGGACTTGAATGGACAGAGGACGAATGTGTCGGTGCATCCAAATCCTTCAAGCGTAAACACTATACCCAGCCGGAAGAGCCCCCGCTGACCAAGTCCAATGTCTGACAGTGGCTCGCTTTTCGAGTCCGGACGAACCAATCTGAGACTAATACACCACCCTGTTGCGTGTGCCCCTGTCGTCGCATTGCATGTAAAGTTTGCCTTCGAAACAAGAACAATGGAAAGTCAACGAGGAAAACAAGTTTCTGGCGCTCATTTGGTGTGACGAAGCCAAACTACTTTTCACATAATAAACACATTCTTTATACCACGACACATTTCGTATTGCGCTTTGTACCCGAATCTAGGAAACAAACCTTTGAATGAAGGTTGATTGCTCCACCCTTGGGAGATTAGAATTTCGGCATGGATAAATTCAACCTGAGCGGACGAGCACGGAGAATGCAGCAGGTTCGATGTCAAAAGCATGGCTGGGAATTCGAACGCCGACTGAAAGACCACGAAGTCTCTGGGTCTCCTTTCAAGCTCTATGCAACTAAATCCTATGGCTGTGGGGCGGGAAACTAATTTCAATTCGGAAGGTCAACGACGGAGGTGCTCGTAAGCATGACTTTAAACGGTTACTTCAAATGCCAATGAAGACTGGACAGATCCTTCAATATTTAGCTTACTTTCTTGCCACCATTGACTATCCTATCAAATTGAGTCTTGGAAGTCGTACAAGTGAAGCCACAGTTTGTCAATTCTGACTGGTGAAACCACGATTCGTCAGTTGCGAGACTCATCTGAATGCACCTGCCTCTTTTATCTCGCAGATCAACTTGCAAGGTTCCAGCTCCTGATGGCATTGTATACGAACCGAAAGCTTTCCACCATTTTCAAGCGTGACCGATCTGTCTCACGGGGAGTCGATCATAAGAGACAGCTCCAACGCTGTTCACCATTTCAACTAGAACACCTCGACCTTTCCTCTTCTTCCAGGCCAGTTCTTTGATTCACACTACAATTCTAAAGCATTCTCTTGACTCGCCAAAGTCTACGTTTATTTCAACATGAAGGTGATCGTCTTGTTAACGGCACTGGCGGCTTGCACTGCTGCATTGCCTGCTATTCCTCATTCAGGTCAGGGTGCGTAGGTGATAGGCTGTAGTGTTTGGCTGGAGATTGGTTTCATAAGCTAAGTGTAAACAGCTCAAACCAGCGCAGATGAATCCTACCTCCCCATGAGGATACGGGCCGAGACCAGTGCCGACGAGTCTTATTTGCCGATGAAGAGGGCCCAGACCAGCGCCGACGAATCATACCTTCCAATGAGGCGGGCAGAGACGAGCGCAGACGAGTCTTACGACCCTATGAAGCGCGCCGAAACCAGTGCCGACGAGTCTTATGACCCCATGAAGCGCGCTGAAACCAGCGCCGATGAGTCTTATCTTCCCATGTAGACAAACTCACGTCAAGATGGGTTCTGTTGGCTTTCGAGTCTCTCAACTCCGATATGAGTCTGAGAAAGTGAGCCCAGCCCAGAGAGAATGAGGCTCAAGATTAGAGGCTCGGGATCGATCGCGAATACTGGGTTGGTGGGGCGCAGCGCCATATTTACGTTGGCATTTCTCTCCAGAACGAGAAGTGTTGAATGACTGCAACCATGATTGAACATTGAAGTCTCGAGTTAGGTCCAATAAATCATTAAACATTGAGGTCTAAAACCGCTGCTCGATCATGTTATTGAATTATTCCAAATCCTAGCCCGAATACTCATGAAAGCTCTTCCTCAATGGGCTTAGGCCACAAGTTGCTGATGCGGTTTTGACCGGGCAACTTACTACTTTACATCAGTGTCAAACTCGTACATCAATTAAAGGTGAGACTGAGATACTGGTGGTCGTTAGAGGCACATGGAACATTGGTTCACCAAACTGGTACAGGCTTCAGTTGCCTAGGATTATACCACTCGCCCGCTGAGACAAAACACAATTGAACGGGAAATCCGGAGAACTCATTGACAGGAAGACAAAAATAGGATTTGGAAGGATAAAATCAGACTAAAACATAGCTTGGATCATGGAACTCATAGTATCCAGAACCCACTTCAGTTGACTTCCCCCCATTGGGCATCGTGATGTCAGCCTTTGTGTTAGGAGGGATTTCGACGACCATGTGAAACCCATTACGATGCACGGCATTTTCCTCCTCATTATTTTCGAACCACCATTGGACCTTAACTTCCCCATAAGGTGAAATGTATTTCGAATCAGCACTTGTAATGTTGCCGCCAGGAATAGGGGCAACAGCGATTCGCTTCCAGCCCGGTTCCGCAGGAGCAATGCCACCAATGACTTGATGCATCCAGTTGGCAACGGAGCCAAACGCGTAGTGGTTGAAACTGGTCATCTCGCCAGGATTGACGCTACCATTTGTGAGAAGACTGTCCCATCTCTCCCAAGTGGTTGTCCCATTTTGAACCACCTGATACAACCAAGAAGGCACTCGGGTCTGAAGAAGCATGCGATAGAAGTCTTCAGTGGCGCCAATGTCTCTAAGAGCAAATCCAAGGGGCGGAGTGCCCGCAAAGCCTGTGCCAACAAGGTAGTCATTGTCTGCAACTATCTGTCTCAGCTTCTCGGCAGCAGCTGATTGCTGTTCTTCATTAGTGAACAGACCGAAGTTGAGAGCCATGGCGTACGCAGTCTGCGTCTGGTTTGCGAGGACACCATCTTGGATCCAGGCGTCGTGAAATGCTGAGATAAGATCCTTCCGTTGAGTTCGATATTGGTCTGCCGCTTCGTCACGTCCCAAAGCTGCGGACATGTTGGCGAGAAAATCAGTCATATGGATTAGATACGCATCGGCGACCAGGTGTTTCGCGGTGGTGGCGTTCCCCGGGGCGTCTGAGGGGGCCTTGGGGTCAAGCCAGTCGGCAAATTGGAAAGAGCTGCGGTTCCAGAGGCCAACGTCGTTACGGCTGATGCCCGTATCAATCCAGGCTTGAGATTGAAGGTATTGCTCTTCGAGAAGACCAACATCACCGAATGCTTGGTAAATGTTGAAGGGATTCGCGACAGCTACATCTCCCCAGACTGCGGCAGGAGTAGCGGGACCTCCAGGGGGGATCGTTGGAATGGTGAATGGAACCACCATCGAGTTGTTTCGCTGCATTTCCGACCAAATGTCTTTGTGCCAGCCTCTCCAGAAACCAGCGGCGTTGTATAAGTAGTTGGCCGTCGGTGCAAAGGCGTGGGCATCACCAGTCCATCCAAGTCGCTCATCACGTTGCGGGCAATCAGTGGGGATCGATAAGAAGTTCCCCTTCATGGACCACCGCACGTTGTGATGAAACTTGTTGAGAAGTTGATTGGAACATTCGAACCAGCCGGTTTGTTCCATGTCGCTGTGGACAACAACAGCAGTGATGGAGTCAGCGGTGAGAGGAGTTTCCTGTGGCCAACCATCGACTTGAGCATAACGGAAACCATGGAAGGTAAAACGTGGCTCCCATGTTTGTGTGCCGTTACCGTGCAAAATAAGAGAGTCAGCCGCCGTGGCAACTCTAAGTGGTCTAAGAGCGAGCTCCCCATCTTCAAGAACTTCGGCATGGTGGAGAGTGATGTTCGTTCCGCTAGGTCCAGAGACCGTGAGTCTCAGCCATCCCACAAGATTTTGCCCGAAGTCGATAAGCGTCTTACCAGACGGAGATGCGAAGATGGACTCAGGCTTTCTTTCTTCAAGTCGTCTGACAGGAGGTCCATCGGGAGGGACTAAAGCGCCTTTGAGTGCGGGTAACTCTCTCACCGCCAGCCAGTCGTCGGCGGCAAATCCTGCAGATGACCATCCCTCCAGCTCTGCCTCAAGTGTGGAATCGTAATGTTCGCCGTTATAAATCTCGGAAGTGATAAGTGGACCAGTGTTAGCTTTCCAAGTCGCGTCGCTCGGCACCATAATCTTGGTGCCATCTTCAAGAGTGACGACTAGAAGACTGAGAAGGCCGATGGTGTCTCCATAGTTGTTTCTGACACCGCCACCATAGCTGAGTCTACCAGAGAACCATCCCTCACCAACTGCAACACCAATTGCATTGTCTCCGCTGGAAATAAGTTTCGTGACGTCGTAGGTATCGTAAACATGCCGGTAATTGTATGATTGCCACCCGGGGGCAAGGACATAGTCACCAACCCGACGGCCATTGATCTCTGCTTCGTAAAGCCCTAATGCGGTAATGTAGAGCCGTGCACGAGTGACATTGGCGTTGACAAGGAATGGTTTTCTGAAATAGACTGGACGTTTAGGAGCTTCAACTTCTGTCTCCCTTTCGGCAGCGACAGGGACAGCCCCGGCCCAATCTGAAGAGTTGAGGAGCCCGGTCTCGACTGTGACCCAATCTGACCAGGGTGTGGACAGTTGACCAGATCTACCGTGGGCTCGAGCTCGTACGCTGGCCTGCTCGGCCGTTTCTAAAGCTGCCGCTGGCCATGGAACAAGGAGAGACTCAGTGGAGTTAAAGTTGTAGATGGTTGGGGGGTCTGACCCCTTAAGAATCTCCAATTCGTAGGCGCTCTGCTCCCAGTCAACGGCATTGCCAGAGAACCGCCATGAGATGCGAGGCTCTGATTCGGCAATGCCAAGAGCTTGTCGATGGTGCTCGAAAGAAAGCTGAGATATTGAAACAGCCATGATGAGGAGAGAGTGCTTGAACAACTCCACCCAACTTAGCGAACAAAGGCTCAGAAAGGCTTGTATCAACAAACGCTAAATGACGCCGCAATTTGGGCCATATATATACATTGTGGTCCTAAGAGAATATCAAATAATACAAGCTCATAACAAGTCCACCGAGGTCTGTCGGGGAGCATTAACCCGCGTATCCATGCCCTTGAACTTGCCATAACTCAAGCATCATTGAAAATACTCGGCCGTCGCTATCCCGTTGTCGAAATTATGCTTGAGTGCTAGCCTCAGCTAGGCATTCCTAACCCCTCTGTTCGTCTGAATCAACCCGAAGTGTGTGGATCTTGCCGTCAGTTTGCGGGGTCCCCAGACTTTGAAGTAGGATCCTTGACACCTTCTGACGGCATCTAGGATCGGGTGTTGATCTCAATGGAGGGGCTCTTGGCCTTACACTAAACGCCGGATATTCCGGCCCACAGCGAGGAACTTACCAGGCACGTGCCAGGGTACTTGTTCCATCTGGCTGCCCAAACCTTCAAATAACAATGGTATGCGAGTGTTGGCGTCTTGATGGTCGCCATTAGCAAGTTGGAGGCTCACAAGAATAGGCTAAGTTTAGTAAATCAAGACTGGACCAACTACCATCGTAGAATTGTTGCTTAGCAACGTATGAGCATTACGCTTGAGTTCTGAACCTCATGGGATGAACCGATGTCCAAACAATCAGCATGCAACCCAAGAAATTCGCGACCCCGCATTGATTTGTCGGTAGTTTAAAGAACCCAGTCACCATGCTCCCTTTCCCCAGCTTCTCCGCAATGTGACGTGCGGGGGCCATGCACACAGCTGACACATGACGCGACGATGTTTTCCAGGCTCATAGTTGGTACTTTGATAGAGTGCAGTCGCAGCGGGTTTATCGGTGGATTCGATACGCGGATAGATCGCAGCCAGGCTGCCAGCCAAGAGGGGCAATCGCAAAACGTTCTCACGAGAGCAAAGATCGTGGCCGACATTCCGCGGCGAACCTCTGATCCCGTCGGCTGGCATAATGCGTGATGACACGGAAACCTGGAAACTCCCCGACTTTCCGAACTTGTCGCACCGGCACAAATGAATGACCCGTCAAAAACACGACTTGTGCCACTGGAAAGTGACACAAGCCCTTGGAGTTGACAGCACGTCATCTTCGCTGCCCTGCAAGTTGTCAGCTGTAGGCGTCCGACGTGGTCACCGCTCAGCACATAACAGCATATTGCTGAGCTTTTGGTGCCTTCTCGAGTCTTCAGCCCCATGCTACGGCCTACGAGTGCTCAAGCGTCCCTATGGTGAGTATCTCGAAAGATCATCTTGCATTCCGCTCTTGTGGCACTGGAGGTTGCACGTTATGGACCCATATATGCAGTGTAGCTAGTAATTAAGGCACATTCGATAGGATGCATTGGAGTCTTTCTGCTATGCGCCTGCTCGGAGCGTCGACACCCTTCGGCCAGGGTTCTTGATTCCTATTGCATGCACTGATCCGGTAGATTACTAAGGACTCGGCCGAATGATGTAGTGCTGGGCGGAAATCCGCGGGCTGCGGACATGAGCGGCCCACATGTCTCCGTTGACCCATTTAAGCTCAATTTACCTCGGGATTTCTCTCTAAAATGGTCTGAGAGCAGCCATGTGATGTTCTGTCTCTGACACGTTTAACACATTCACCATAGCTTCCTCATTCTCCACCATTCGACATCTAATTCCAGTGCAGTATCGACAGAATGGGCATCCCAGCAGACAAAAAGACAGTCCTGATCACAGGGTGCGCTACACCCCTTACCAACTTAGTCTTAACTATGACTCGCCGAGCTGATCGCTGGAGGCGTTAGTGCTGACAAGTTTACTGCAGCTGTACCCCAGGGGGAATTGGCCACGCCTTGGCAAAAGAGTTTCACTCCAAAGGTTGGTGTCAACTATCCATGGACGAATAATTGGTGTTCATTTAATGGAACGAACCATAACTGGAGATTTGGCTTGCTCACAGCATTCTGCTGCCAGGACTCCATGTCATCGCAACAGCCCGCAGGCCCGAAGTTCTCTCGGACTTAAGCGACTTGGGATTGACGACTTTGTCACTCGATGTTACTGACAACGACAGTATTGCAGTCTGCAAAGCCAAAGTCTCCGAACTGACTGGAGGCCGCCTTGATTTCCTGGTCAACAACGCGTAAGGCCTACCTCATACCGTGGTGCCTTTGAGCCAGGCGGTTGTTTCTATCGCTATTTGCAACTCCTGGCGGCTGCGCTGCTTACTAACCATCTTCCAGTGGTTTGACACACACTGTTCCAGCAACCGACATCAATATGGACGAAGTTCGACAGACTTTCGAGACAAATGTCTTTGGCGTCATGGCCATGGTCCAGGCTTTTGTGCCGCTGCTGATCCCGGCCCGTGGCCTCATCATCATGATCAGCAGCCTTTCCGCCATCTCTCCCTACGTCTTCGGCTCAGTCTACACTGCGACCAAAGGTGCCCTCAACTCGTACAGCCGTACACTTCGCCAGGAGCTTCGTCCGTTTGGTGTGCGTGTCATGATTTCTATGACTGGTACTGTCAAGAGTCAGATTGCTAAGCTCACTCGTGAGCTCCCGCCTAACTCGCTATATACTCGTGTCAAAGAGATATACGCAAAGCGCCTTACGTTTTCCCAAAACAACGCAACAGTGTCCACGGGGGACTTTGCCCAACAACTAGTAGCGGAAGCCCTGAAAGGAGAGGGGTGGCTTGGTGGTTGGGTCGGAGGAGCTACAAACTGGTTCTGGGCTGGCGGCATGGCTGGGTCAGTCTGGCTGGCTAGACTTCTTTTTGGCGAGTGGCTCTTGGATGAATTGGCCTACCGGAAGTTTGATCTGCCTAAACTTGAGGCAATCGTGCGTAGGGAGAATGCGAAGAAAGTGGAATAGGCAGACACGTGTATTTCATTAGTCCAATCTATTAGCCTAGAAACACAGGTTCAAGTCTATTGAAGTTCAGTCATCTTGAGCTCAAGACTCTTCCTCATCCCTTGAACGGGATTTCGAGCTCTCATCTTCGCGATCTCTAAGACCCAAGAATAATCCTAGCATCAATAGATCATAACATGCCTTCATGATTCCTGCTCCCGTGAATACTACGATCCAAAGATTCTTTCCGGCAAGATAGCCTGCAGAACCAAGACCACCCGCCTGAGCCCACGTCTTGACAATATTGACAACGCCCAATACAGCCGTCCTTTCATTAGGGAGGACAGCAGCTGCAAGGAATGCCTGCCTGGGCGCTTGGTCCATGCTTTGGGTACATGCTCTCAAGGACAGGAATGCCATCGCTGTCCATGTTCCACCAGAACCAGGCAATGGAAGAGGAATCATTGACAGAAAGATAGCCGAAGGCAGGTGAGTAAAAACCATAGTCTTAAGTGGTCCTAGTCGGCGGGCAAGAGGAAGTGCGACGAGGTTCGAGATTGTGGCGAGGAGATTGGTGACCAAGAACAGAGTTCCAAGGGAGCCCGGCTGAAGAGAGTGAACGGTGGTGAAGTAGTAAGTCAACCAAGATGGTGATGCCATGCCGGAGGCGAAAGAGTCGAGACAAAACAGAATGAGGAGCCGGAACAGGATCGATCGAGACATGGGAGAGATGTAAGGGAGTAGAGCCCTTGCGCGTTGCGTGATCGTTCGCCGACGGGATTTAGATCCTTGTGACTGCCTATATTGGCTCTGCTCGCTGCCAGAGACATCGCCAAGTAGAGGTTGGGCTTCGTTATTTCTTCGACTAGTAGAATCGTTGCTTTCTGCCGGCGGAGCCTCAACACCAGAAGTGAGGGCAAATATAAGCATCAGCTTGAGCAAGCCGATCGCTGCATATATAAGAAAGACGACTCTGTATGCTTCGTTCTGGGTCCAAGAGTCATTGCCTTCAAGGGCCTGCACGACCCAACCGCAGGTGAGTGTGCCTAGAGCGGCCCCTGCTGAGCCAAAGAGAGTGTACCATGCAAAGATATCGCTGCGCCGTTCCTTCTGCGTAAGCTGCGCTAGAATTGACTCTTCAACGGCGCGGAATGGTCCGATTTCGTTGCCGCTGGGACTGATGACCCCGAATATACTGGCAATGACAAGGACCCAATAGTTCCCAACCATAGCAAAGATCAGACCGCTCATAACCATCAATGCGGCTCCAGTGGCCAGCACTTTTCGTCTTCCAACTTGGTCGGTAACGGCGGTGAGCAAGAAGCTGATGACGACATCTCCGAGAAGAGTTAATGTCATGAAGAGGCCGATTCGTTCATCCGAGTAGCCTAGACTTGAGAGGAAGTGTACTAAGATAAGAAATGATGCACCGTATGCAAAGAGGCGAACAAAACGCTGTAAGCAGAGTACTTTGGTATCGCGACATGACTGCGAAATCGATACGAAACCGCTCTCTTCGCCAAGCCGCGATAACCAATGATTTGGCCCAGAAGACATAATGGAAGCCGAAAGAATAATGCCGTGCGTATAGAGACTATTCGAATATGGGCATTTTCAACATGGACGCTAGATAGACTTATAAGTCGAACAGTGTATCAGTCGATGTGAAGTTTGCTCGGGCTGTGAGCTCGGAGTTACAAGTGGAGAGGTCGGAGAAGTTCGGTTTAAGCCAAACTATTGCAAAACCTGAGTAATGTCACGTGTTTGAGGCCGCTAGGTATGACGTGAGAGGCAAAACATTTCGTGATTATTATTTGCTAAATTTTGGAGAATACACCACAGGCAGAGGAAAATTTTCCTCTCGTCCGTTGGTCCCCTGTTCAACATTGCCGCTCTTCCGCCTTGACTACGAGTCAAGGTTACACATGGCGAGAATGAGGCCAATTGCGTTGTGCTCCACTTGAAACACTGAGCCCCCCCCCATACGTTCTAGACATGGGCGCGCCCTCAAGAAAAATGCACTGGCACTGTTTTGCCGGCATGGAGGTCTTCATTCGGCGTTCTTCACCAATGAACAGAGGCTGAGCGTTATCTTTTACTTGAGTTCATTCGCCATCTGTGAAGGCAGAATGACCAGCGATTAGACTTCACATCGAGGATCAGTGGGAACTCGCGATAGACAACCTCTCAGGCTCTCACTTACAGCTCGGAGGAGTACTGATCACGGAAGCGGAAAGTTAGTACAGTTTTTGGTAGACTTGAGAGGTTTCGCGACCCATTTCAACCTTGAGACACAACTGAATAGTATTATACTTCTTTCACCGGAGGGATTGAAATCTTGCATTGGTTCAAACTATCCAAGGCCAGTTGCAAATTTTCGACCTTCTATTCAATAAGCGCTTTTGAAAAAGTCCAATCCGAACATAACTGTCAAGAAGATATAGACCGTTATGTCTTTGCTGATTGCGAAATATTGCCTGTAACGTACTTTATCTAACTACCGAATTTACCTGGAAGAAGCCAGTTCTACGTGGAGTGTGGGATTGAACCGAGGCCCTGGTCCAATGCTCCAATGCTTCAACTGAAACAGTGCGTTGTTCTACGCTAATTGCTCCAAAAGTTCTACACTGCAAAAACAATGCTTTTGTTTGAAAAGGAACTCGCACTCCGGTATAACTCAGGAGGCGGCATGTTCTTCTCACATGCATCAATCGATACAAAAGTCAAGTACGGGTTGCAGAAACATTTGTAAAGTACGCAGATCTCCACATAAGGCCTCCAGCATAGGCTCAATTAGATCAAAGTCAATTATGGCAACATTCAATTTTTGCATGGGTTATGACACTAGGCGACGACCTATGCAGCCACCATGCTGCATTACTTAAGACTATATTCTTGCTCTACTGAATGTCGAAAATTCATGAACGTACATATTTACACTCCAGATGAGAGGGGGTCTAACTCTACCTAAGCAAGTTACCATTCGTAATATTGGACCAGGATGGGCGAACTCATGCTCACCCCACAGACGAACGGCAGCTATAACCAGATTCACTTCAGTCCTCTCACGTGCAGGAGGAAGGGAATGCGCTTTCATGGACCTTTAACAGTAACCTCGAGCCCTAGCAAAATCAAGACTAATCGCACGAGCTTCACTGGAACCCTTGCAGGTCCTCAAATTCATTTTAGGTCATTCTGCAGCGACTGGATTGGCGAGAGCATTGGAAACCTGGCAAGCTTGGAGTTGATAGTATTTCTTATCGGACTTGCACTACACACATGTGGTGACTGGCAAGTGTCGCGCTTGTAATGAATAGACGCGAAAACAACACGGATGGCCGTGCAATTCAGTTCGCCATTCAAAGGCTACTTCTATTATGATTATATCTGCACCAACTCTTTGGTTGATATTTGATAGTGAGGTATCTAGCAGTCCGCCTTGCTCTTAGAAACGGGGCAGTTGATAGCGCTAGGAACGTTCTCGTTAGTTGCGTGGTCTTCCTTCGGTGGCTACTGTGCTTACTTCTTGTCGGACTCGTTGGCGGTGATTCCCGCGGGCTGCTTCTTGTCCACTGTGCACTTGGCGAAGACGTTGGGAACAAGCTGCTGGAAGTCGTGCCGCAGTCAAGGTTGCGGGTGTTACCGTTGGCATCGGTAACATCAATGTCGTGGCCGACGCTGACGTACTGGTTGTTGATACCCTCACCGGAGAAGTAACTTCGCATGTCTAATCAGCTCGGTTGCCTTGAAATCCGGAGGTGGGGCTCCTTACCATCCGTAAATAACCTGGCGGCTCTCAAGAGCAGGAGCAGCCTGGGCTCCAGCGACGAGAAGAGCAGCAGCGACGGTGAAGGCACGCATTTTGAAAATTATTTAAAGGGAGAGATGCAAAGCGGAATGAGTATGAACGAGTGACGAGTTGCGGATGGCAAGCAAAACGGACTCACAATTGCGAGCGCATCGTCTCGAGGTTCTTATACTATAATGTTGCAATCTGAATACCAGTCTTAACTTTCACGTTTGCGGGCCGTAGTGGGGTCTATAATTTCTGAATGCCTCGTTATCCTGCTCTGACCACCGCTGAAAGTTACCAGTGCCCGGTGATCCCGAATGCAAGAGTGGCTTGGCGGCAACTCACTCGAAGTATGAACTTTAAACCGATTTAATTTTGCCGCATAGCGTGGAAACAAACTCCTCCCTATTGCGAATCTTAGGGATTATACGAAGGTATATTATAATGCCTTCATTTTTGGTCGAAAGCACGGCCCCTTGCCGATGGTGCGCATGTAATTACCCCAAATCTAATTTCCCAGAAGGCCGAATGAGAGACTCTAGGTGGCTTGTGGTGAACGTGGACTGCGAACCGACTAATGTTGTTGAAGGATCTGAATATCATGAAACACAATGATAAGTAGGATATTCGTAGAGCGAGATAGCTGCATTGGGCTGTTCTTGGAAGACGTCTTGCTGCAGAGGTTCATGTCTGCTTGGGAGGGGTTCGGGCACCGAGTCAGGAAGCAACCAACAGGGATATGACAAGTTGTCTTCATTTGGAGAAAAGTATCACAGCCTCACACCCATTTAACCCGTTGATCCCCTGGTACTTTGATAAGGTACGCCGTCGGAAAGTAAAACCCCCGTCAGAATCGCGCGTTGGCACGTTCGTCTGGTTAACACTCCCAGACTCAATCGAGAAGAGGTGTATCGGTCTGCCGGATTCCTGCTCATCATGTGCGAAAACTCGCTGCTTGTAAGCTTAGTACAGAGATGCATGGCAGGAGATGCAGTGTGAAATACAATAGTCTCTCTATTTAAATGCACCACCCCTCCTCTGGGAAAGATGCTCCAGTCATACATTGCACTACTCGCTGTGTAATCATGCGTCACTACCTCCTAGGCTCCTACCCCTCTTCGTGTTTCGCTCTCGCGACACCTTTATTCTCGTCCACCATCCGTGATGGACTTGAATTGTCCTATCACAGTGAAACCAAAGGATCCGTCTAATTCTTGGAGTCGCTGCCTCTATTCTCACAAAAGTGGAATGACAGCTGTGTTCGTGTAGTCTGCCGAATCAGCAGCGCATTCGATTCTGTCCATGCACGTTCCGAAAATACGATCCCACAATCGAGTGTGCTTGCCGTAGTTACCGCTAGTCTTCCAGCCTTTCCGATGATGGAGATCATGATCCTCAAGCACCAACTCGCAGTTGAAAAACTGAAGCGGCCATGCGAAAGGTGTCGGAGTTGTAGCATAAAGTCGCAGCCCGCTATGCCCCGTCAATTCAGTGAAAATGACATATTCCTGACAGAACCACCATTCGTAAAAGCCCATTGGCAGCCCTACGAGCTTGAGCGTCGCCCACGTCAAGAAAGGGATACCAGCGATGTCCCAGAACTCTTGTTCACTGTCCGCGAAAAGTGTAAGAAGAGGATTTGGGTGTTTCGTAAGGTGGTGTGTCTTGTGGTACTTCCACAACGAGTCGACCTCGTGCATAAGTCGGTGATACCAATAAAACCAAAAATCCAAGACAACACCGTAGAGACCAATCTCGAGAGGAAGAATCATCCAATTTATTGTGGCTGGAGCCTCGTTCGAACGATACGAGAGAATCACAGCCATCATCGATCGAAATGTGGCAGTAGATATGAGTGACTCGAGGACTGTTTTGACACTTTTGTCGGGGACCCCGTCGCGTTCGTGTTTGTCGCCATCAAGGAATCCGTAGCGTTGGCCGAGACCGCGCATGGTATTGATTTGGTGGATGGCGACAGCCTTTATCGCTACGCTGTAGAATACGAAAGCCGCTACCGGGTGAACGTTATATCCAGTCAAGGATACAAAACCTTGATGAAGTAGGAGAGGTATTGTTGCGTGTAGCAGTATCCACCGATGGAACTGCCAGTGCGGAACATAAGGCACTGATTCGGCTTTGGAGTGGACGGGTGCAGGTCTGTCAAGCTCGTCATGGTATAGTCCTAGGCGTTCGATGATCCAGTGACCGATCTTCCACGTACGTTTGTCGCTGCGACGCCAGGTTGACCTCATAGGATCTTTGCTTTCGACCCTAATGGTCTGGCCTTGGCTCGCCGTAATTGTCGTGAGAGTAGAAGACATACTACAGGTTATTCATGAGAGGTGCCTAAAGGTTGATGGCAATGAGTATCTAACCAATCCATCATTCTCACCCAGATAGGCGATCTACAATCACAATATATATAGTTTCATCTTATGATGATCCTCGGCACTACCACATTCACGTGTTTCACCCCCACATTGAAATAAGCTCGGACAACACGTCAGACCCTTATGTAGTATTGACAGGACTGCTCCTGTCGACACCTGATTGAAGGTCCATTGCGCTTGGATCAGAGTCGACATCTTGGTGTTAGGTAGGTACAGAAATGCTTGTTTCATATGGTTCCGAGGCTCAGTGTGGCTATGCGAAGCTATGCGACGCATCACATCCAAGCCGAGTCGATCAAAAGCCGAGGCTATCGAAGATCGGCATCATTCGATGTGAGAGTCTCTTTGACTCGTCCATGTGCGAGCTGAACGCTATGGGCGCTGTCGAAGTCAAAGCACATGAGCCGCGACAAAAGATGTACCTTGGCCCATGGGCTAGACCAGAGCAAGCAGAAAAAAGCTTTCAGGGACCTTTCATCTAATTATCAGAAAATATATCACGGATGAGATTAGTCCATCCCGCCGAATGATCGATTCTCCGTCACATGTTGGTCTAAGTTGGCCCTGCGTTGGCCCTGCGTTGGCAGAGACAAGGGACCGAACCATTTGGAGGACATACACATAATGTAGCTTGTAGTGTAAAACCCCAAATAAGGATCGCCTAGGCCATGTGCAAAATGTTGGGAACATCAAGAACACTGGCATTCTGGTCACATGCGCATGAACACTGGCGGGTCGATTCTCTTGACACACTAAGTGGGAATGCATCGCAAGGAGCCTGTTGGATCATAAGCCTCTATGGCGGACACGGTCGAGGTAAATCATACGCATTAAAGCATTATCCTTGCTGGTGCCAATGTGTGTACTCAACAAATCGTGACAGCATGACGTATGGATGGCTGAAATTAGACCGAATGAGTCAGGTTCTAGTTATGTTTGTGCTACCCCCTTTCTGTCTCTCACTTCCTCTCTCCCACACTCGAAGAAAAAGATTAAAGCCACGCAGGACCTGATGTCTTGTACGCTATTTCTCACGTCAAAATTTGCCGTGAACTGTAATAAGTCAATTTCCAAGTGGCTAAGCATTCCAATCGGAGCCATGAACGCAATTCTACGTGCTGCATCTGGAACGGAACCTAGGTAGATGATGCTCTGCACATGGGTCCCTCAATGTTAACCTGACATGGACTCTTCCTTGCAATATAAGAGGCAAAGCTCTTGTTTGTAAGACAAAGTCTTTGCTGCTGGGGTATTGTTCCAGGCCCAAGCCTTGGGGTTTCCAGTCGACATATTTACATACGTTGTGTTGACTTCTCAATTACTACGGTTCTAGGATATTCAATACACAAATCAGAGTAGAAATAAATCCGCCAACGATTAAATTTGAACGCATGTAACGCACTGAGTCACGAGAGCTTTTTCTTGATTGCGTATCCAGCTTAGAGTAGCAAGGTTCATAGACCGAGGTCGTTATGTGAAATCGCATTTCGGGATAGATCTACGTATGCGGATAAGGAGGTTTACACATCGTTTTAGCAGGTTCTAGCATTACCCACCAGCTGCAATGATGGAAGATATTGAACTAGACACTTGCAGCTGCCACTTTAGCAACTAAGCCCAGGATTCCTGCTGCAGTGATTGGCGAGCTTGCCCTTGAGAACCCCTCCCGAAACGGCAGACGTTCTTGCGCTGAGGATTATGTGTAAGTATACGAACCATGGCAACGAGACGGCAAGATTGGACATACTGAACAAAACCTTCACCCATTCGGTATTGGCGTTTCCATCCTCCAGATTTCCAAAAACAGAGAGATAGAGAGCTGTTTCAATGAAGCTGAATTGAGTACCATCGGCCGTTAGGTTGAAGGCAGGGTTAGCAGCAGCAGCGGCTTGCAGACGCGTGACCCTCGCCTTAGCAGCTGTTGGGATGCTGATAGTAGTGTTTGTAAAGGCGACCGCTACTGATTCCCAAATTTCTCTATTGAAAGAGTGGTTGTCGCCAAAGTAAATGTCGTTGCGACTTAGACTACCGTCGTGTTCGATGACTGCCACTGACTTTAGGGTATGCACACAATGTTAAGGTCCGATTTGACTCACTGCCATGGGTGTTGAGATCGTCCAGGTTAAATGTCGCGTTGTTGCCAGTCGTGGACGTGAGGAGAGCCTTTTGTCCCACTAAAGTGGTAGCAGCAGGATCCAGATTAACGGCTGCCGTAAAGCCGGCAATGAGGTCTGCAAGAGAGACATTCAAGCCGCTACGGGGGAGGTATCCGTGGTTGGCAAGAGTGTTCACCATTGGACAAGGGCTACGACCTGAGACGTGTCAGCAGGAGCTTCATATCAAACTATTTATCTGATTGTGAGTATTACGATCGGCGGGAGTAGGCGCAAACCAATCATTGGACCCACGTCTGACAGCGAATGCGTCCGCTGCGAAAGCGAGAGAGAGAATGAATGTGGATTTGACAAGCATGATTGGCAAAATGAGAGACAGCGAGGGATAAAGAAGGCAAAAAGGAGTGGCGCGTAGAGGAGGTGCAACAAGAGCAACACTTCGAGCTTGAAAAGCTGCGTTCAACTAGCCGGGTGGCCGACCATAGATAAGTCTTTCTCTTGTCTTCTTCCCAGACTAGGGATCAAGTAAGCATTGTGGTCCCTGAAGTTCTTTTGTCAAGGTGATCAACTTGACGCGATTCCATATTCGTACGTAAGGCCGCGTCGAGTACCAGAACGAGCTTACAGCTGCGAGATACGAAATTGACTCTGACCCCTGTGTTCTTCTTGAGGGAACCCCACGATGGAAGATGTTCCCGATCAGGGGGCCTGTGCCGAGACCCTAGCTTCAGCGGGGAAGCTCGGAACCGTTTTTTGAGTGAGACCGACCAATGAACAAGCCTCAAAAGTCAGCATATGTGCAACGATGGCCTCGGTAAAATCGGAATAACCTGTTTTCGGGCTTTCACCGAAAGAATGGCACAATGTCCATGCTCTAGCACGGAAGAGACATGCCGCCGGTGTATCGTATCGATGCATTCTGAGGGATCTGTGCGTAGGCGGACCGAGCTGAAGTTGCATTGGCCTAATCCCATGGGTGTATAACACAGTTTGCCTGTCATAGGCTCGGCCCGCAATGCTTATAGGGACCATCTGAAACTCTATTAAAGTACAAATTCAAGAAGATAATGTCAATCTCACAACGGAGTCAGATTCGTTCAACTTTGAATATCATAGTGGTATAATGCCGGCCGTCACTCCTATCTCCGTAAGGTATCTCTAAGCGCATTGTCGTGATATCTATGCCGTGTCCACGACGGGCCATCTAACTTGTATAGAGGAAAGTATTCGTCATTATCGCATTGCATCAAGCCCACTTCGAAAAAGTCATGTCGGCGTATCGGTCATTTACCTCTTCAGAAAAGTCCAATCAGGTCGGACATCTCCCTTGGAATTCCTCTCATGTCATACGACTTTCCAGACTCGGCCGCTTGGTAGAAGAAGAACCGCGATTATGCTGATATCGTTGAGTTTTCAGAGCAATAAGAAAACCGACGAAGCGGACTTGTTTTTTCCAGTACGAAGTACCTAGTACATAGTCTAGGGTTGCAAGGCTCACGTGATGCTGAGCGTGTACTCTTCTTCCCATAAAGATTCATACGGGACGTAGAAGAGAACCAAAGGAGGAAATGATCCCTGAGGGCAAATTGAACAGATTTGATACTCAAGGTAACCAAGACTGTTGGAAACAATGGCAAGCTGCCAGGAGGATGCGGAAACGCACGGCAAAAGAGCGATTCATGTGCTCTTTGCAGGCGACACACAGCTTCCCGTATTTACAATTGGGGAATGTTTAGTTCTCACTCTCGCGTATGAACATAAAGGCTGAAATCAAGTAGGCTTTGGGGATGAACACTCAGCATTGCCTTACGTTTCTTCCAACCCCACCAGACCACACGGGTCGATGTACCTTGAGTGAAGTTGTCTGGCACAATCTCACAGTATGCCGCTAACAGGAACATACTTCATAGATAAATGTATCGCCACTATGCCTCTGGAGCCCGTATCTATACTAGTAAACAGGTAGTATTCCGATCATAAAAGCTGTCACATATAAGCAAGAACCACCATTTCCCGCCAAAGTTTGAGTTTAAGTCAAACCCCCCACTTCCCGGCACCCCCCTGTTTCTGGCACCCACAAAAACGCGAAAATCCACCACAACGCAATGCCCACCCCCAACCTCCTTTTATCACAACATTTTCAATTCGAGTCCAAATGGGCTCATTTTTTGCACATACCTTCTTCTATATCTAATGCCTCAATATACCGAAGATCAGCTTCGTCAGGCTCTCGAGGACATCTCAAACGGCAAGAGTCAAAAGAGAGCCTCATTGGAGTATGGGATACCACGATCAACCCTCCAACTACGTCTCCAAGGTGGTCAGACTAGGAAAGTGGCTTTTGCTGACTGGCAGAGGCTGTCTCCTGACCAGGAGAGTAAGCTGGCACAATGGGTTCGCATTCAGGCTTCGCTGGGCCTCGCACCAACGCACCAACAGGTGAAGGAATTCGCAGAGCGAGTTCTGGCTGCTGCTGGGGATACCAAACCATTAGGAAAAGGCTGGATCTATGCCTTCGTGAGAAGGAACCCTATCATTAAGGTTCAGAGAAGTCGTTCCATCGATTCTAGACGCGTTAATGGGGCATCTACTGAGGTCATTAGGAACTGGTTTAAGTTCCTTGCTATCCCTGAGATCAAGGACATCAAACCAGCCAACAGATATAATATGGATGAGACTGGCATCCTCGAGGGTCAGGAGCTAATGGGTTAGTGCTGGGCATGGCTGAGACGACGTCTGTTCGCAAAAACAACCTGGGTCGAGGGCATGGGTCTCTATCATTGAGTGTATCTCAGCCTTGGGTAGGGCACTTCGTCCTCTTATCATTTTCAAGGGAAGACGGTCCAACAACAGTGGTTTCCATTACATCTGGTTCCATACGATGGGTGGGAGTTTACAGCAACAGATAATGGCTGGACTACAGACTTAACTGCCATTGAATGGTTAGAGAAGGTGTTTATCCCACAGACTATGCCCGAGGCTGAGGGCGAGGCTCGACTGTTGATTGTGGATGGGCATGGGAGTCATACGACGACAGACTTCATGTGGAATTGCTATATTAACAATATCCATTTACTGTTCTTACCACCACACTCCTCATGTCCTCCAGCCACTTGACCAGTCTGTCTTCAGCCCTGTTAAGTCAGCCTATCGGAAGGAGCTCGGTTACTTGTCTCAATGGAACGACTCTACCATTATAGGTAAAAGGAACTTCCTGGACTGTTACCAGAAGGCTCGACTTGCTGGTCTATCAGTCTCGAACATCAGAAGTGGTTGGAAGTGGACTGGTCTACACCCTGTAGCGATGGTTAAGCCCTGATGAACCCTATGGTATTACCTGAGCCTTCTGCTAAGCCCACCACACCCAAACCAACCAGTCGGGGCAAAAAGCGATGCCATAATGGTCAACAAACTACCCTGTTGAGCCATGGGATTCTGCTTCCTCTGCAGTGGTCTGGTCGACACCCAGGAAGCTGGCAGAGCTCAGCGGTCAACTGCACTTATACACCCAACTCGACAATGATACCAGCACTCAACGGCTGCTGTTCAGGAAGGTGAAAAAGGCTTCAGAGCAGGCCTGGCAACTGGCAGCTGCCCAGCAGCAGCTGGCTCACCTGAGGCTCAAGTTACCAACGCTGCAGTTAGGAAGAGGAAGACTGTTCAGATCGATCCCAACACGAAGTTTGCGAACATCAGGGATATCCATCGGGCTCAAATCGAAGCGGGTGAAAAGGAGGTTATTACGGCTGAATCCAGCGACTCTGAAAGCGACTCTGAATGCCCTAGTGAGGCTGGCAGTTGTATTGTAGTGGGTGTGGTTGAGGATCAATAGTTAATAGTAATGAGGAGGTTGGGTTGTGATCCCATCGTTTTTGTGGGTGCCAGAAACAGGGGGGTGCCAGGAAGTGGGGGGTTTGACTTATTTGGTTCACTATAGTTAGCCGGGCAGTTGCTAGGTAGGTAATGTACATATGTCATTACAAGCCCGCATGGCCGAACCCCGGTTGAATACTCCCAGTTTGCTCCCGCTTGATCCAAGCCTCCTTTCAGCATACCTGATCCTGGTTAAGGGCTTGTGCATAGCCCTAAGACTCCGTTTTACGTAGAGACTGGAACTCGGCAGGTACGGCGTCGGCATCGGCACCAGTGTTGGCAATCTTCTCCTGGAGTGAGGGCAAATAGGTCAGCATCTCGTCTGAGTCTCATGCATACAGTGATCTTTTTGGAGAGTTCAAGTCAACTCACCAGCTCCTGAAGTTTCTCATCCGTCAGGCCGACAATGTCATACTCAGTGCCGTCTGCGAGGCCGAGTGTATCAGGTTTGACGACAGCCTCGCATTTCCCGGCACCGGGCTGCTCAGTGGGGCAAGACTCGTCGACAGCCCGCTTGCGGTTGAGAAACCAGTATTGCCCACCCGTGCGGTCGCCGCGCGTCGTGTAAGGCAGACAGACGGTTGTGCTCCCACCAGAATCGCGCTGGCCCCCAAAGAATGAGCAACCACCGCCCGTGTATGCCTCTGTGCGAATGCGCCAGTTGCTTGGAATCTGTGCTCGACACTCATTAGTTCCGACAATTTTGCTGGCAAGACAAAAGGCTTTCACTTACGGCAACCACAGCAATGCTAGATCTGCCGCTGCTTGCCGAGCTACTGAAAGAGCAGCACACGTTAGGGTTGATGTTGGTACAAGCGACTGAACCTCCAGCGCAGTTGTCACCAACGTGAGCCCTAATGTCGATAGCTGACGCGGTGGCCGCGAAGACTACGAGAAGCGATGAGAAGTACATAAGTCAAACCCCCCACTTCCCGGCACCCCCCTGTTTCTGGCACCCACAAAAACGCGAAAATCCACCACAACGCAATGCCCACCCCCAACCTCCTTTTATCACAACATTTTCAATTCGAGTCCAAATGGGCTCATTTTTTGCACATACCTTCTTCTATATCTAATGCCTCAATATACCGAAGATCAGCTTCGTCAGGCTCTCGAGGACATCTCAAACGGCAAGAGTCAAAAGAGAGCCTCATTGAGTATGGGATACCACGATCAACCCTCCAACTACGTCTCCAAGGTGGTCAGACTAGGAAAGTGGCTTTTGCTGACTGGCAGAGGCTGTCTCCTGACCAGGAGAGTAAGCTGGCACAATGGGTTCGCATTCAGGCTCGCTGGGCTCGCACCAACGCACCAACAGGTGAAGGAATTCGCAGAGCGAGTTCTGGCTGCTGCTGGGGATACCAAACCATTAGAAAAGGCTGGATCTATGCCTTCGTGAGAAGGAACCCTATCATTAAGGTTCAGAGAAGTCGTTCCATCGATTCTAGACGCGTTAATGGGGCATCTACTGAGGTCATTAGGAACTGGTTTAAGTTCCTTGCTATCCCTGAGATCAAGGACATCAAACCAGCCAACAGATATAATATGGATGAGACTGGCATCCTCGAGGGTCAGGGAGCTAATGGGTTAGTGCTGGGCATGGCTGAGACGACGTCTGTTCGCAAGAAACAACCTGGGTCGAGGGCATGGGTCTCTATCATTGAGTGTATCTCAGCCTTGGGTAGGGCACTTCGTCCTCTTATCATTTTCAAGGAAGACGGTCCAACAACAGTGGTTTCCATTACATCTGGTTCCATACGATGGGTGGAGTTTACAGCAACAGATAATGGCTGGACTAC